ATAACTATCTTTAGGGTGTGTTTGGTTGGTGGGTTTTGTCCATAGGAATGGGTATGAAAGTGATTGTTGTTGTTTGGTTGATAGGTTTTTGGAACACTACTATGGGTTTCGAATACCCCATCAATTGAAAAACCTATATCCAAATACAATAAGGGTTTCATTCCCTTATTCATTCTCAAGCACTACTATTAGTAATCATTCCTATTCCACCCTACTACCAAACATGTTAAATACTTTCACCAAAACCCATTACCATTACCAAATATTTGATACCCATTCCGATTCCGATTCCTATGTGCGAACCAAACACGCCCTTAATATTATTTGAGTACTAGAATTTGCGCATCGCGCATTAAATTATTATGTACTATTAAAATAAATCCAGATGAGCATCTATTTAATTACTGTGAATGTGTCAAGGTGTTTTGCAAGTGGGGTTCAAGGATCTCTTAGGCAGAATCAATTATACCATTAATTATATACTCAATATAATATTATTCATTCATCCCACATTGCATTGTGTGTGTGTGTATATACATATACACACACAATGCAATGATGATGTTGTATAAAAGACAAGATTCTTAAATCAATAATCTAGTATATTGTGTTAGTGCAAAGAGTTATGTAGGCTTTCAAATCTTGGGAAAAATGGAAAGAGCGATATTTCGTAATTTACTTTATTCATCAGTCTCTCACAAGAGTATTGACGGATTCTTGTCTATATGGATGGGCAGCTCAACTGATTATAGATGTAAAATTTATTACAAGAGAATCTCACCAGTAGCAGTGTGAGAACAACCTCACAAAATGAGAGGGTTTTGAGGCGCCTAGAAATAATTTAATATTTTAATATATATATATATATATATATATATATATATATATATGGAAAATGACACTTTTTTCCCCTAAGTTATATATTTATAGCACTTTTTCTCCCTCAATTATTTATGTAAGCACATTAGTCCCCTCAATTATTTTAAAAGTGGTGGTTTTTTCCCATAATATATTAAACTCACATTTCTACCCTTAAAGTAAACATTTTATTTATTTTACTTCTCCAACAAATTATTGCGTATATGTAGCGATTACCACGGTTCGGTACGAACTGAACCAGACACTATAGCAATCGAATTAAAAGTTTTCGGTTATGATTCAGATCTAGAAACCAATATTTGGATTTTAATTTATTAAATTTAAGAATAAAAAAACTGGATCATGAACCGTGAACCGGCGGTTCCGGATCCGGTTCGCGATTTTGAACCGTCTTTATTTTAAAATTTTATTTTTTATTTTAAAATAGTCTAAATTCAACAATAAATATATTTTATTTTTTCAGTTCGGAACATGAACCGACCATTCCGGTTCGCTATTTTAATAAATTCTAAATATCGCGTTTTGATTATAAATTGTAATTGAGATATTTTGGTTTGGTTGCTATAGTATCTGTTTGGTTTGAACCAAATTATAGTAATAATTTGTTGGAGAAGAAAAATAAATGAAATATATTTTTTAAATATTTATTTTAAGGGTAAATATGTCCATTTAACATTTTAGGGGGGAAAAGAGCCACTTAAATAATTCAGGAGAAAAAAGTGCTATAAGTATATAACTCAGGGGGAAAAAGTGTCATTTTCCTTTTATATATATATATATATATATATATATATATATATATATATATATATATATATATATATATGTAGTTTATATATGATTATTTGTTTTACATAATATTAAAGGAATATTTTTAAGGAATCAGTTAACACTAGTATATTTTGTATTGAGTACAATCATATATGCTATTTAAATTAGATTGTATTAAATACTGTCAACATGCACGTGCCCTTGCAGTAGCTAGCGCAACCAAACAATCAAACATACCATGTTTAGCACTAATACTGATTGACACCTTAAAAATTCTCATCAGAGAGATTATGTATGTGTGCACCTATGACCTAATGTTGTGTTGAAGACATTATATATCCCATCCACAAAAAGCTACCAAATTAAAGAAAAGTGAGTTTTCAAAAAGCTGCTGCTGCAGAGATGAGATAAGTGCCTATATATACATACATACAACAACAAAGTAGATACATAGTTGACAACCAAAAGCAAAGGGCAAATATAATGTAGTGGCTACCCTAAAGTTAGTACATGAGTACATATCATCTTTGGTGTGTGCATGTAAGTGTTGGGATCTAGGATCCCCCAACGTTATATTTAGTTGCTGGACAAGACTTTTGAGCACCCTTTACTCCAGACCAAGGTCACATAGATATGGTTGGCACATCATTTCACATACTACAACTTCTCTTTTTTCCTGTCATGTCACCCTAAGCTAGCTACCGCAAGGGATTACCTCTTGCCCTCTTGGTCTAATAGTTAAAAGAAGATTCGTCGGCTTTTTCACGCACTAAAAGCACTTAGTGTGGTATACCAAATTTCGTCTTAGATGATATTGGACATGTTTGATAAAATAGTTAACCTATCAGTCAATTTTGGCTTGTTTGATCATTATTAGTTGTTTGACTTTGTTAAACAATAAATATGAGTGTTTGATTAATTAACTTTTTGTAATAGTTTATTGCTCCAAAACATAAAATTTAAAAAGCTGTTCAAAACAGCTTTTTTTGAGAAAGTCATTTTGTATGTAATAAGTTATCAGCTAATTTACCAAACATATTTTTATAATCAGATAATGTTATCATCTAATCAAACTCACTAACTCAATCAACTAACAGCTATTTACCAAACACTCCTATTATATATAATTGAATTATTATATTCGACCATCCCACATACTGTATCTGGATCTGGAGAATTATTAATCTAGGTTGTATAATAGTCCGTAGCATATATGCTTCTTCTTTTTTCTGCCGGGAGCATCATGATGCATGAAATGGTACGAATCGATACGGTTTTTATTGATGATCTTAATCAGAATCAACTCAGCTCTTTCTTTTGCTAATATGTTTTTAAGTATATGCCAAGGCCTGTGGGGAATGGTGATGGTCAAGAATAAAATGATGATTAATATATAAATCTGGACATTATATTAGTGATGCATGCATATTTACATACATACATACAATCAATCAATAACATATATCTATTAATCTTTTTTTTTTTAAAATATATCTATTAATCTTAATCCTCAGTATTATACACTTCCAAATAAACAAGGCAAATATCCACGGTTTAATTAATCAATATCTTACCGATATATTTTTAGTACATTCAAAGAGAATGAATATTGCCGCCAAAGCACTAGTCTAGTGGATTAGAAGTGTCATTTAAGACTTACTTCCAACCGCGTAGTGAGGGTTCAAATTCTGTCATAACATTGATGTTTGGGTGGCTTCTTGTGTTTGGATTTGGATTGGTTTCTAGTGTGCAAAAGTGTACAGTTTAGTTTATGAGGCTCATGACTTGCTTTCGGCGGTAGTGTGAGGGTTCAAATTTCACCACGAACATTGAGGACTTGGGTTTGGGTTGGACTTCTTGTGCGCAAAAACGTACAGTTTAGTTCATGAGGCTTAGGACTTGCTTCCAGCAACAAGGTGAGAATCTGCAATGAACATTGGGGGCTTAAGTTTGGATTGGGTATATCTTGTGTGCAAAAGTGTACACTTTTGTTTATGAGGCTCATAACTTGCTTTCGGCATCAGGGTGAGGGTACGAATTCTGCCACGAATATTGAGGACTTGGGTTTGGTTTCTTGTGTGCAAAAGTGTACAATTTAGTTTATGAGGCTCATGACTTGATTTTGGCGGCAGGCAGGGTGAGAGTTCGAATAATTTTGCCATGAATATTGAGGACTTAGGTTTGTGTTGACTTCTTATGCGCAAAAGTGTGCAATTTAGTTTATGAGGCTCATGACTTACTTCCTGTACTAGGATGAGGGTTTGAATGCTGCTACGAACATTGGATGTGTGCTTGTGTTGGGCTCTTTGTACATAAGTGTACAATTTAGTTCATAAGGTTGATGATATAATTAATCGAAGTTAGAAAACGTGAATAAAAGGAAGCATTTTTTCTTTATTACTAGCTAATTGAATAATGGGAGATGCACTAAAACATGCATACAATAGAATAATAGTTTTTGCAGAGTGAGTGGTAAACCAAATAGGGTGGCATTCCGATCCAATGCTGAAGAAACAGAAAGAAATTAAAATGGATTAATAATTCCCATGATAATACCATGGTTGGAGGGAGGAATTTAGTAATAACCTAGAAACTATTCGAGTTCAAATTTTCAATGAAAGACAATCTCAAGCTTTAGAGTAAAAATCAAGTACTCAGACCCTAGTTATCTCGTTAAGACAGCAATTTACATTCTCTCATCCAACTGATCAGGACAAGACGTTGAGTTTAGAGTCCTTAAATTTGAGGTTCAAACTTATGTTTGGAAGCGGAAATTACTCAAATTAGTATAGAGTTGTCCCAATGGCCAATGCAATAATAATCCTGAGACCCTAAACCTTAAAGGCCAATCTAGGAGTCATAGGTTTAGCTTTATCTTCTAAGTAGTGTTTTTACAATTCAAACTTGCCATATATTCATGTCCAATTGCCCCTAACCACTTTTCTTCCTGTGTTCTGCTCAAGCACAAAGCTTAGTCCCCAGGCCCCTACACATGGCAGAGTTGGCAGCTTCTTGTGCATGTATATATACTAGAATAGAAAAAGAATAAATTAAAAGTCAGAATGCAAATATGGAAAGAGAATATTTGTATGGTGGGGCAAATGGCCTGGCCACTCTTCAATCACCAAGATGACTAATATAGACATGTTCAGTGGTGGAGGCCTAAAGTGCCAAATTCAGCATCATATCCTACCGTGTTTAAAATGTGACATTAATTGTTATACAAGTATAAGAAAATAACATTTTTAGAATGTTAATTAAGTCCAACATTCTCGACATGCATTCAAAATGCAGCATTTTTTGGGACAACTACAACTAAGTTGGTTTGGTAACCTGTATCATACAGTGTGATGATCAATGGCGAGAGTGGAGGTCAGGTGCAACCAACAAGGGGTCTCAGGCAGGGAGATCCACTTTCACCTTTCTTATTTATTATTTGTGCTGAAGGTTTATCCATGCTTTTGCAGAAAGAACAGGCAGTAGGATCTATTCACGGTTGTAGAGTGGCTAGGGGAGCCCCCCCAATATCACACCTATTTTTTGCTGATGATAGTTTGTTGTTCTTTAAAGCAAATGTCCAGGAAGCTATGGTGGTTAAGCAGTGTTTGGAAAGGTATGGGGAGTTATCTGGTCAGTTGGTAAACTATCATAAATCTAATATATGCTATAGTAAGAATACTGTGGAACAGATGAGAGAGGAGGTGGCCGAATGTCTGGGCGTGGAACAGGCAAGAAACTTTGGAAAATATCTGGGATTACCCTCTTTTATAGGGAGAAATAAAAGGGCTGTTTTCTCTTATATAGAAGATAAAATCAGACAGAGAGTTTTCTCGTGGAACAAGAAATTGTTATCACAGGCTGGCAAAGAGGTGCTTTTGAAAAGTGTGGCTCAGTCTATGCCTACATTTTCAATGAGTGTTTTTTTGCTCCCTGAATCAGTTTGCGAGTCGATACAAAGGGCCATGAATAGGTATTGGTGGGGGAAAGGGCCAGACAGAGGAATCCACTGGAAAGCATGGAATAAATTGTGTATTCCTAAGAAGTTTGGTGGATTGGGGTTTAAAGACCTGAGGAATTTTAATCTGGCAATGTTGGGTAAACAGGCATGGCGTTTCTTAACGAATCCAGGATCTCTGGCAGCACGAATATATAAAGCAAGATATTTTCCAAAAACTTCTTTTGTTGATGCAACGGTGGGAAATAATCCCAGCTTTTGTTGGCGAAGTATTATGGCTGCTCATGATTTTGTTATTGCCCACGTCCGCAGGAGAATTGGAAATGGCCAGGAGACTTTGATATGGGGTCATCCGTGGTTGCAGGATAATCCTAGTCCATTGGTTCAAATAGTAATGCCTGAACCATTAAGGGATGCAGTTGTTGCAGGTTTAATAGATCAGCAAACAAAAACATGGGACCCCCATATTTTAACAGATTTATTTGAACCAGAGGATGTGGATCGTATATTGAGAATACCTGTGAGCCCAGACTATAAAGACACATGGTATTGGCATAATGATGCGAATGGTTGCTACACTGTAAAGGATGCTTATAGGCGTCTAATGGGAGAATTTAGTCACACCTTGGGAGAATTTGATAAATGGATTACATTGTGGAAGTTGAAAGTCCCCCCCAAGTGGAAAACTTTTTTATGGAGAGCGGTGTGTGATATACTCCCAACCACAACAAATTTGATTATAAAGAGGGTAGATGTGAACCCAACATGCATGTTGTGTGGTCTTACAAATGAGAATGTTATGCACTCATTAGTTTTATGTGAATATTCTAGAGCCGTATGGAATATTTCGGGATTGCCTATTATGAATATTTTTTCAACATCTTTCCCGAACTGGCTTATGACTGTTATGGATATGCTCACAGGCGAACAGGTCAGACGCGTTGTGGGGGTCCTCTATTTTTTATGGAGGGCCAGAAACGAGGCGGTCTGGGACCATGCGGTACGGAGACCGGAGGTGGTGTGGCGCCGTGCAGCTGCGGGGGAGGCGAGCTACACGGCACTTCATTCTCGCCCAGCGGCGGCACCGGCCGGCGGGGTGCGGACAGTGGCAGCCGGGCGGACGGCGTGCTACGTCGACGCCGGATACGATCCGGGAACGGGAAATGCAACCTATGGGGCGGTCTTGCTCGATCCGAATGGTTTGTTCAAAGCAGCGGCAAGCGGAAAACTCCCGGGGTGTTTAACTCCTCTTATGGCAGAAACACTAGCATGCAAGGAAGCCTTGTCCTGGCTTAAAGACCGAAACGAGAACGAGGTGGATATTCTTACGGATTGTCTTGTCTTAAAGAATGCGGTTCATGCAGTAACGACACCGAACTTATCTTATGTTGGAATTCTAGTTGAGCAGTGCAGGATAGCTATTAGTAGTTTCGTTAATTGTTCGCTTAGTTTTATTCCAAGAACTTTAAATTTACATGCGCATACTCTAGCTAGATTAGCCCATGACCAGGATCATTCTATGTACTGGGATTTAATCCCTCCTGACTCTATCATTCAATTTTTGAATTAATATATTGGTACGCCATATTTCAAAAAAAAAGTTGGTTTGGTAACCACAAGGTTCCAAGTTCAACTCTTAATAGAAGCGGTCTATTGATCTTCTTGGTTTGAGTTGGTAAGTTATGAACAACCTAAGCTGGTTTATCCCATTGTGATCGTTTTGCTAGCTAAGATCTTACAGCGCGTTTGGTTCACTGTAATTTAGCTGTAGTTGAATTGCAGTTCAGTGGATGCCTCAATTACATTATTTGGTTGGAGGGAATTGCAATTCCCTCCTTTTGTTGAATTGTTGCAATTCAATGAATTTGAAAAAAGGAAAAACATATGAAATGACATTACTACCCTTAGTTGTTATTACTATTATTATTACGCAAGGGTATTTTAATCTTTATACTATTTATTTCCTTCTCAATTCTAATAATTCTATTTCTCCCTACCAAACAACGTAATTTGAATTCCTACTTTATTCTCACCTTATTCTTTCTCACCGAATTACAATTCCTTTCCCCCTTAATTCCTTCCTTCCAACCAAACACCCGATTAGAGTAGGATTTATCAATGTACACTCTCGAATACTGAGTAGTGGCTACGAGTTTTACTCAACTTTTAGAGTACCATATATAGTTAGATCCACCACCATTATTCAGCCATCTATCACATGACTAATTCGGAATATATACAATCAGCTCCGACAATAATTTGACTGTAAACTAATCGGAGCTCAAGAGGTAGAGTGATAAGCAGAGAGGACCACTACTAGTGATCTCATCTGACGTACTCACTCCACCCTCCTCCATTATCAGTCTCACACTTAAACCTAACAGGATGGAACCATTGTAGGGGCCGTCCCAGCTCTTGCGCTCAGCTCTCTCAAGTAACAAACTAATTAAAACCCACCAAACAGAATTCAACATTTTTAGTGGAAGCATGCAATACCAAAAAGATATAATATTATTTGAGTATGACACATCAAAAAACATCAACCAAAAGCATTCATAGGTGTGAGAACGGAAATTTCCTAATAATAATACTTCATCTCTCCCATTGTGCTTGTCAAGGGATCGAGAACTCGTTGGTAAGCCAGCGGCTAATGCAAAATCGAAGATTCAACTAGTGTTAGAGTTTGTGTCAGGCGTGTGACCCGAACTTAATTGAATCCAAATTAGCCTGATCCGAAATAAATTGAATCTAAACTAGTCTCGGAATGACGAAGATATAACATGTTGTATGAAAAAAAATAAATAAACCTTGCACACAAATGGTAAAATTATCTCGCACCCACATGATAGTAGAGACTAGAGAGTAACTAAATTGAATCCAAATTAGTCTGACCCAAAGTGAATTAAATTCAAATTAATCCCAGAATGATGAAGATACTATATATTTTATGAAAAAAAAAATGAAATTCTCCCGCCCCACAAGATAGTGGAGGAGTAAAGCACATGGCCCATTTGGTGAGAGAACCAATGCCCACAAGGAGTCCACTATACACCATATTGGTAAAAACTCGCATACAGTCATGTGTTATCGTCCACAATCTACCACCGAGAAACTAATTAAATTGCTTGCATAGAAATTCTTTGAAGTGACAAAATTATTGGGGCATTTAAACACAGAAACTGTCACGAAAAGATGGAATTGACTAAGCAAAAGGTTAGGGTGCATTGAACATGGCATCTAAGTTGTGCATGTCAAAAGAATAGTTGTGCATTTTTCCCGTCGTCAAAAGAATAAGATTACATGAAAATGAAGTCATGGTTTCACCAAATATGAACAGACAGGTGGTCGGACCGACTTGTACTAAATTTGCACGAAAATACCAGCCTAGAAGGCGGTTGGAAGTGAAGGGGAAGTACAAAACTAAAAATAGACGGGGGTTAAACATCTGCCCTTTAGTGTGACTACTACACTACCACGTACTCTCTTGAAACTCCAAAATGTTGATCTTGTTGGAATTTTTAGTATAAAATAACATGTAAGTGACTATTTTTTATACAAATATATGTGAATTCTCTTCTGATTTGAATTGGGTCAAATTGGATTTGCACTTTTCGTAGTGAGACGAAAAAATCGATATATTGTACGCTCAAAACGGATTATGGTAAATGAGAAATGGATTCTCAAAGTATATATATTTGAATTGGAAAATGAAGGTGGGGAGGCTTTGTAAAAAGCGCTTGTCCCACATTGATTTGGGAAGTGGATTTGCACCACAATATATACAAGAGCCTTTTAAAAAAGAAGTTGAATTGTATAACATAGAAGCTCTCTTACACGTATAGGGAATACAAATCAAATTAATAAATTCGAAAATTCTTCACACTTGAGCTTTAATTTTAAGGCTCGCTCGAGCTCAAGCCACCATATTTTTATCGAGTTCGAACTCGAGCCTACTCGAGCTGGAGCTCGGCTCATTTACAGCCCTAGGTATCGTGAGGCCGAGCGACCGATTCATGGTTGTCGATAGCCAACTGCAAGGGGCCAAGGAACGTTGAAGCTTTAGGTGCGTGATTTTCCTTCTTAAGGTACGTGATTTGTATGTTTAAGGTGCATCAGTTGTTGAAACTTAAGGTGCGTAATTTTAAAACTTTAGGTGCGTGGTTTATGTTTTAAAACTTTAGGTGCATGATTTGTGTTCTTAAGGTGCTTTGTTTTTGTGTTTAAGGTGCATCATTTTAATGCTTAATGACTCGCATCCTATCGGAAAGGCACTTGGAATGATTCAGATGAAATGTTAATCGATATACTATTCAATGTAGTAAAAGATACTCTAGTGCCCATTTAGTTGGCGGAAACAACTTTTTAAAGATGTAGAATATAATAAATACAATTTGAAAGCAATTGCTGGTTTGCCTGAGAAGTTAAGGGGGAAGACTTAAGATCTTCTGCACATAAGTGCGCATGGGTTCGAACCCCATAGCCAGCATTTACCTAGTGAGAAAATAAGCATACTGGTGACAATTTGGTAATTTTTGCATCTAGGTTAAATTTAATGTGTGTAGTTTTTGTGCTTAAAATGAGTAGTTTTTGTGCTGTGTGCTTAAGGTGTGTAAGTTGTTGAAAATGTAAGTGCGTCAATCTAAAATTTTAGGTGCGTAATTTTATTTCTTAAAGTGCGCCGTTTGTGTGTTTAAAGTGCGTCAGTTGTTGAAAGTTGAAACTTAAGGTGCGTCGGCCTAAAACTTTAGGTGCATGGTTTTCCTTTTTAAGGTGCGTGATTTTTGTGTTTAAAGTGCGTGATTTTTGTGATGTATGTTTAAGGTGCATTAGTTTAAAACTTTAGGTGCGTGATTTTCTTTCTTAAGGTGCGTGATTTCCCTTCTTAAGGTGTGTGGTTTGTGTGCTTAAGGTGTGTCAGTTGTTCAAACTTAACGTGCGTCAGCCTAATAATAAGGTTTTAGATGCGTGGTTTTCCTTCTTAAGGTGCGTTGTTTTACTTCTTAATGTGCGTTGTTTTCCGTCTTAAGGTGCATCAGTCTAAAGTTATAGGTGCGTGGTTTACCTTCTTAAGGTGCGTTGTTTTCCTTCTTAAGGTGCGCCATTTATTTATTTATGGTCTGGTTCCCATACGGATGTACGGCCATTTATCATTAGATATGTAAAAATATACCACAACATGTTTATAAATGCACTAGGGTATGATACATTTTTGTGGTACATTTGTACATTTCACCCGGGTGCCATTTCTAAACACGTTGTAGTGCTTTTATGCATACCTAATTGGCAGTGTTGCAAAAATCGAGCCTAGGCGCTAGGCGCCCGTCTAGGCATTCTAGGCGCCAGGCACTCTAGGCGATCCCCAGGCGCCTAGCGATTTTTTCAACTTTGCTAATTGGTGCATGACTGCACTTCCAAGGTTGTGCGTTTTTATGGGTATTTGTACATTTCACCCTAGTGCATTCTAAATATTTTGTGATTATACATACCTAATGGTACAATCTGCACGGTCGTACGAGAAGATGACGTCATATTATATCTACTTATTCACAACCAACAAATCTCAAGTGCCTTTCCAAAAAAAAAAAAAACAGATCTCAAGTGTGTATATATTCATTATCGAGACAAATTTTAACTTGTTGCTGACAACTTCAACCAAGGTGGTCTAACAGATGAGCGTCACGAAACAATTGACTTGATCATCGAAAGGTTTCAAGTTCAACTCCTAATACCCCATAGAAATTATTTACTAATTTTTCTTAATTTAAGAAGGCAACCTAAGTTAATTTGTCTTCTTGTGATCTTTGCGGACTAGGGTTGCAAGACGAGTTTCACCCAGAGAGTATTTTCAAATAGCAACCATAGATTTTTTCGCAAATCAAATACTTTAACTAGTTGATCAATCTAAAAAGAATTGATAACTCTACTTCTCTAACATCCACATAGTGTCGAATTTGATTCCTCGATTTATCTCCGATAGATCTACCAAAGCTCCAAGACAAGGACCAAAACCTTCAAAATCGAAATGCAGCATTTGATTTCTTTATTTACCTCTTCCTCCAAAACTCAAGGTAGTGGTAGAGACGAGACGGATGGGACCGTGAGAATTAGAGTGCAATCTTTTCAAGTATGTATACATCCCTAAAACAGCACCAAGTTACAGATAGTAACTAAAGTCCAGGTATGCAATTGGTGCATTAAGTGGCATTGATAGTGACACTCAACTCTCTCCCCCCTTTATATTCTCCTCAACACCCTTCATTTTTGTGAGGCCATTCTACACTAACCTCTCCATTTCCACCCAAGGAAAAAAGCAAGAAAATCCCAAACCCTTTCTGGAGAGAATGAACTCACACAGCCTGAAACAAAACACCATGCTCCTCAGATTCATAATAGTCATATTAGCCAGTTGCAGCATCAACCAAATCAACCTTTGTTCTACCTACCCTTTTGCCACCCCCCATGTCCCTTCAACTACCCTAAAACTGGAGGGCTCTCTTAGCTTTGACAACATTGACCATGCAGCCAAAGACTTTGGGAACACTCACCATTTCCTCCCATCTGCAGTGCTGTATCCAAAATCTGTCTCTGACATCTCTGCCATGATCAAACATGTTTTCGAGATGCGTGGCAGCTCGGAGCTGACTGTGGCCGCCAGAGGCCACGCCCACTCCCTGCAAGGCCAGGCGCAGGCTCACAATGGAGTGGTGATCAACATGGAATCGCTGCGTGGCGAGCCAAGGTTGCGTTTCCAGACAGGAGGAAGAAACCCCTACGTTGATGTTTCTGCCGGGGAGCTTTGGATAAACCTCCTGCATGAAAGCCTTAAACATGGCCTCACCCCGAAATCTTGGACGGATTATCTTCACCTCACCATTGGCGGCACTCTGTCTAATGCCGGAATCAGCGGCCAGGCATTCCGGCATGGACCTCAGATCAACAACGTTTATCAACTTGAGGTTGTCACAGGTATATATGCTCATATGCTCACTGGCCCAGATCACAACATATTGCCTAAAAAAAAACATATACACATAAAACATGTGATTCCACAAAATTACTAGGGTGGTTAGGTCCGGTCCCTTGCTTTTTTTATTTCAAGAAAGTGATGCATTTTCCCAACACCAAAAAGTCAATTATGAAGTGCTCACATTGTGGGCTGCACTCAACAGAGTTTGCAGCACAAGTTACTTTTGTTAGCAGCAATCACTTCCCACAAATTCTACACAGCCATTTTTTTATTCGATATGTTAGGATTAAACCCGTGATATTCTACCTAAAGTTACCCGTTCATGCTATTAAACTACAAGCATCCTAAAATTACACGTTCAAGATCCCGCAACCGAGGATGTGCATTGGATAAATCCAGCCTTGTGACCCTAACTGGCAAAGGACCACAAGGGGGTAAACCAATTTAGATTGTCCATAACTGACCAGCTCAAACCAAGAAAACAAATAGGCTGCTCTTATTGGAAGTCGAACTTGTAACCTGTGGTTATCAAGTCAACAGACCAACTTGACTGGGGTTGTCCCCTTCTATTTACTTTCTTGTTTGGGGTTGGTGTGTGTGGAGGGGGAGGGGGTGGGTGTGTGTGGAGGGGGAGGGAGGGGGATTTAGAGGTAGATGTGAAAAATTATTCACTACAGTCCATGTCAAATGTCACACTCGACACATGCTTTATTAACAAATGATGATGACAAACTTCTCTTAGGTAGAGGAGAAATAATGGCATGTTCAGAGGAGCAGAACACTGACCTGTTCAACGCAGTACTTGGAGGACTAGGACAATTTGGTGTCATCACCAGAGCAAGAGTTGCCCTTGAACCAGCACCCAAGATGGTAACTTTTGTACACCTCCACTTAACTGTAAATTACTGTCCAGTAAAACTAAGAAAGATACCGCTGACAGTTAACCAACTGCTGTGTTGAGTGCAGGTTAAGTGGATCAGAGTTCTGTATTCAGACTTTGCCACATTCACCAGTGACCAAGAAAACCTCATTTCATCTGAGGATACTTTTGATTACATTGAAGGGTTTGTGATAATCAACAGAACCGGTCTGGTTAATAACTGGAGGTCTACTTTCAATCCTAAAGACCCTGTTCAAGCCAGCCAGTTCAGTTCTGAAGGCAAAACACTTTTCTGCTTAGAGGTTGCCAAGTACTTCAACCCAGAAGATTCTGGTTTCTTGGATCAGGTAGATGTTATAAGTTCATGTTAGCCTTAAACGGGGTGTCTGTTGAGCGAAATATATATAAATAATAAATGTGGTGGCAGTTTCACTATCAGTTTAAGCTTCAGTTATGTCTAATCCTTGGAGTCTGCTGTTCTACTCTGCAGAAAATCGACACACTTTTGTCGAAGCTGAGCTACATTAGATCCACGCTGTTCCTTTCGGAAGTTTCTTATGTGGATTTTCTGGATAGGGTGCACATCTCAGAGATGAAACTCAGAGAAAAAGGGCTGTGGGAAGTCCCTCATCCATGGCTGAATCTTCTCATTCCAAAGTCCAAGATTCATGTCTTTGCTAAAGAGGTTTTTGGGAACATTCTCACAGACACCAGCAATGGCCCCATTCTCATCTACCCTGTGGATAAATCTAAGTATTAATCCTTAAACTTAAACTACATACCTCAGCTCCTACATAGTTTTCTGGTATATGACCATATATAATTCAATTTCCTTGTGTTTCTTCAGGTGGAGAAAGGGGACATCCTTGGTTACTCCTAAGGAGAATGTTTTCTACATGGTAGCATTCTTAACCTCTGCAATGCCATCATCTACTGGGAAAGATGGCCTGCAACACATACTTTCACAGAACCGAAGAATTTTAGATTTCTGCAAAAGGGCAAACATTGGGATGAAACAATACTTGCCCCATTACAGCACTAGGGAGGAGTGGAAAGCCCATTTTGACAGCCAGTGGGAGGTTTTTGTCACAAGGAAATCGCTTTATGACCCTTTGGCTATCTTGGCTCCTGGCCAGAGAATTTTCAGAAGAGTAACCTTTCAACAACAATTATGAATGAATGAATAACTTAGTACACAGATCTTTTAGCATACAAGAATAGTGATAATGCTGAAAAGAGTAGACAAGTGAATGAATTTCTTATTGTCAATTCTTGTACCTATATGGTTTTTATAAAAATGGCAGCAAACCAAAATTTCTCTTGTTTGTTGTGAGTCTGAGATTGAAGTTTTCTCCAACTTTCTGCAAGAGAAATGGGTTTTCAGATCACTGGGAGAATGAAATTTTCACAATACTTGTTGACAAAGAAGATAAAAACACAAAAGAAAGGGAGTAACGTAACCCAGATTTCACAAACAAGGAGACTTGAATTACTCTAATAAAATATGGGATGCTGTTCAAAAGCAATTGTTCTGTCAGTCTGTCAGTGAAACACTACATATATATATCGGGAAGAGAACTGTGAGTATAAAAGGGCAGGAAAAAACGAAGTGGGTTTAGAAACTCCACTTGATGCTGCAGCAGAAATGTGTTCATTTCTTAGCCACTTCGTCTGTCCAGCCAAGGCCAGGTCTGCAGACGCCTTCTTGTGGCTCTTCATAGCCTCGAGCATCACGCAGAGAAGCTTCAAAGTCAGTGGTGTCAACTGCTGTAGGAAGGAAACTACCAATATCGTCTCTAGCTCCAAACCCTCCTGCCCGCATAACATCATCGGGAGTAATTTCAGCTTCCATATTTACCTCGCCAGGAGCACGAGCTACATTCTCACCACCTTGGGGGTCAGCTTTGTGGGTTCTGTGATTGCCTTCCTCTGAATCTCGGTGCTTCTTTTGACCATTCATTACATGTAAATCGTGCACAGATTCATCTATCCCTTTTTCCGCACTGCCCTCCACTTTATCTGATGCATTCAACAAATTCCAGTTCAAGGACAAAGATCAATAGTTCAGCATGCTTTACATAACAGGAAATTCTCATTTATTCACTTTTTTGTCATTAAACCATTTTCAAGAACTCAACTACCCAGCTACTGTCAACAGAAGGAAATGAAGGGATAGGATATGATCAATGAGGGTTACTAGCATTAGTACCTTGGAAACTTCCAGGTGATTTATAGTCAGTCATGGTCTAGCACAAAACTGTACTGGCTATCTTAACCGAGTGGCAATACCAGAAATCAGAATCTTCAACAAACCTAAGAAAGAACCGAGGCCACAGAGCATTATTAACAAAATCCATATATATATATATATATATATATATATATATATATATATATAAAGAAGGGAAAAGAATCCCAATTTCCAGGTGAAATGAGGGATATCTTCAAAGGGCATCTGCACTTATATGGTGTAGGAGTTAATCAAGGAAAAATGGTTCTCAAGCAACCAATACCAATTTTATATCAATCCAACCACTTCTCTAACTTCTTCTTCTCATACAAATCCCAAAAAAACATGTTGAATTTCACAAACGCCAAGAGGAGAAATACATACTCCAAGTACCATATCTAGAAGTCCAGAGTCCAAATGCTATTCAGTACTAATATTCATTATATATAAGAATTCAAATCAATGGCGTTCACCGTTCTCTAGAAATAGAATTCAAGACACATCTAGAAATTCACTGCTATTCGGAACATCTCATAATAATGAACTTTTCAACACATATATTTATTATAAGGTAGAGTCAATTGGGTATAAAAAAAAAATCCTACTAGAACTCATTGTAACATCATGTTTGATGGATGCAAAAATTTACAAGATCATATAGTCCTCTGTCATTTGTGATGGCAGTTTTGAATAATATCTATATATTCTTAATTATTAATGTTCAAAGGAAGCAGGTTCCCTGTGTAATCAAAGTGACTCCATTAAACCTACTTGTAACTCTTTGAGCAACCCTAATTCTGCTGAGAACAGTGACCATTTGCATAGCCAAGAACCATTTCCATTAGGTGGCAAAGAAGAAACAATTTCCCATCAGCTCAGCAATCAGCCAATCACTAAACTATTTTGAAAGGCCAACCATACAATAAACACTCTCCAAAAACAAAACTTGCTGATTTCAGCACCTTCCATAACCTCATCTTGTCCTTTTTTATGTCAAGAATTTCATAATCAATTGCATCATCCCTTTCTGTAGCCAATATGTTTGATAAAATAACCCAGGAAACGCATATGCCCAAAAAGACTTCTATTTTCTCAACTTTCTTCATTTTGACACTTTTCAGCTACATGACAGCATCCAATCTTTCAACCGTGCATCAGTATTAAGCAATATAGCCCAAGAAAATACACTGAAGATACCATTTTTTGTTTATGTAAATAAGCAAAAACTACATTAAAAATAATAATAATAAAAACAAAAACCATTATGTCATACGAATTCTTGCCATACAGACTGTAACATATGAAGTGGAAAAGAATTCCCGTTAATCAGCGATTACCTTGAAGAAACCGGGTTGGGCAATTTCAGTGCCTTGCCGCACACTTTGTTCTATTTTTAAGCGGTTAGACGGGACTAGAAACTAAGAAAAGTGTTTTGGTGTGTCATCATAGTCTACGCTCAAGCGGACGTGGCCGTTTACTAGCCAGTGACGTGGCAGAAGAATGAGTTTTACCTTTACTCTCTCATTTTTACTCTATGATTTCATCATATTGATAAGTGTCTTTATCCAAAATTTGTAAGAAGTAGAACTTAAAAGTAAGAGATGGAGTTCATGTAGTATTTTCCTATTTAAATGGAATAGAGCATCCACACTAGTGGATTTTTCTTGGTTCTTGTGAGATCCATGATGAAATGGATGATAGAGAAAAATGTGAGAGAATGCATTTTGATCTCCTGCAACTCTGCAAGTAAAAAAAAATTTTGTGGGTCCCAAGGGAACAGAGATAAATGGAACAAGGGAGCTATTGTGCGCGTTTTGTGTACAGCAAACGCTTAGCCTGGCGCGTTATACTTGAATATGTACATGTAGCGGGAGTAATACTCTTTGGAAGTACATTTAAGATGTGTTTGGTTTGTACATAGGAATCAAATACTTGTAATATTAATGAATTTTGGTAAAAATATTTTGCATATTTGGTACTAAAGTGAAATTGGAATGATTACATTATGTATAACCCTATAATGCAAATAAAGATTTTAGGTTTTAAAAAACTAAGATGTGGTGCAAGAGTAAATGCTCACTTATGGAGGATAGGCTCACTCAAAAAACTGTATATGAAGCTGATGAGAGTTTATTCAAGAAGAAATATAGTGTAAATTGAAAGGAGAGAAGTGCAAGTAGGAAACATGACACAATACAAGATTACCTCCAACGTTACTACTAAGCAAAATACAACTAATGAAAATGAAAGATTGCATAATACGAAAATTAAACCATTTAAATGGAAGCTGCTGCAGGCTTCTATCAAACAAACCATACTCAACTCATGTACACATCTCATCTCTATGCAATCAGGAAAGGCAGAACTGTCAACATGAAAGCTTCATAGGTGAAAGTTGCTGAACCAGTATACCCAGTGTCCTTATCCTTAAATTTCTCGGTCAGCCCCTGCACATCAACAACACCAAGTTGGACCCAATCGAAATTAATTTCAATACAATTGAACCTACGAGCAGCTAGGTAGCACGGAAACATATATGGAACGAGACACAGGAAAACATAGGATCGTTTTCTTGAACGTTTCCATGCATCATTGCCTATGAGAAAGCTAAGCGCTCTGGAAAAAGAATCAAGATGTGGCTTGGCTTACCTTCACTGTGAGGCAGCACCTGCATTCAAACACAAAAGTATGAGAAAAAGTAACACAAGGGCACTAATGAGTGAAGAAAATATACTTTGGATGCAAATTATAAACGATGGATAATGCGTGAGTAAGGACTAAGGAAGCATACTCGATGAAATTATCGTATTCAATGGCCTTGTTATGTCCACCGGTTTTATCAAATTTGGTCACCAACAACTCTAAAACTGCAGGTGATACTGCAAATCCCAAGCTCAAGAGGGCCTCCCTTAATTCTGTAGTATCAATTTTGCCACTCCGATCCCTGTCAAATCTCTCAAAAATTGCCTAAACATGGCATGAAGCATTAGTCAACCATAATCAAGAAAAAACAAAGGGGAGGGGTTAAGGAGTAGACGATATCTTCATATCTCCATCAACAATCAACTCACCCTCCAGTTTTGTAGACTGTAGAAGACTGCAGTAAATTCTTTTGGACCTGTTCCAAAAGTCAACAGTAAATCGACATTGTGCATGAAATAGAAAAAGACTCAAAGAGTTATTTAATCAAAGACTAGACTCCGAAAGAGAGAGAATGATCTCCCATTCCAATTTCCTTTGTATACTGTGTGCCTATGCTCCTTAGAACAGTATATCAGACACTGATTGTTTCCTTCACCCTTTAAATAGTGTTTTATCTTTGTTTTTCATTCACACAAAGTAACTTAAATTTAGTGCATCAGTAAAAGATAAGCAAGTACAAGCTTGAAGACCAAGTGTTTTGGATACTACTCCAGATTACATTTGATATGGCTTTCGGGACATTGAAACATTTTAAACTGTTAATGAATTGGTCCAATGCATAACACTAATTTTGCAGGTGATCAACGAAGTATCCCAAGGAATATATTACAAAGCATGTCATTTAACTCATTTTCACAACTAGTTTGTTACAATGTTACATATACACAAGTATTCCAAAAGCTAGTTTCCAAATCATTATACACAAAGCCAAATTGGCAGCAATTCCTAACCAAAAGACTTCATCAGTTATTGCCTTCTCGGTGAGACAACAACTACATAACGTTTTCAACACATTCCATGAACGGCAGACACAACCCAAAACATTTTTAGATGATTAATGTGTTTTAAGATGTGCCACTTATTGACTTATTATAGTGCTGTAAACAAGCACTTAGAAAACATCAATTAACTAATCTGTATATCTTAACTTATCTACATTTGGTGGGTCCTTGGTTATATAATTAATGGCATAATTTTTACTAAAATACAAAGTTCCAACAACTCCATATAGACCAGGTAACACATGATTAAACATGATAATTAGCCAGCAATTTCTTCATCACCAAAACTCAGTTGCACAAGCATTTTGCATCATACACTACTCCAGTACTAAAATGTCACTAATTGCCTCATAATCAAGCAAGATGCCTCAAAACCAACCAATTAACTCTTTTGGCTTTCCCCTTCTCTCCATGGTAGTTGTTATGGAGTATAATCCATATAAATACAGTACATATGAAGCACAGATAGATACTAATCCAATGCCCCATTGCTGGGCAATCTGTCGAACCAATTGAGCTAACCCGTCGAGTTGTTTAGGTTTTTAATTTTGTAATGTATATTTTCCATAACAAAAAAGATGTTGAATTGGGGCAAATAATCAAAGACACCGAGACACGGATCACATGAATGAACACTAGGTCTAGGTCTATGAGTATATGCATATGAAAAATCTGAACAATACTGCAGATAATTACCAATTTTACGGGTGTTGGTGTTCGTGAACAGATACATGAGAAGATGAACTGTCCTCATGCTAAAGCTCTGATGATTATACGAGGAAAGCGCCCCTTGCAGCTCCTTATCGTCGATCATGCCGCTTCCATCCTGATCGGCCATCTGAAAGCAAGCCACCACGTTCGGATCGGTGCCGGGCGGGAAAGAGGAGGGGACGTGAGAACCAAAGGGGGCACTGCCGTACGGCGCCGAAGGGGGAGCGGTGGGGTAGCCACCGCCATAATGGCCAGAGGATTGGGGTTTGTTCTCCTTCGGGGGCTTGGTGGGATCGGACGCGTAGGGGGCCGAGGGAGCCGAGTACGGAGAGGCTACGGGCGCGTAAGGAGATTGGCCCGGTGGTGGGGCCCCGTATGCGGAAGATGGCGGTGGAACGCCGTAGGGAGCTGATGAGTACGCCTGGGACGGCGGTGGAACGCTGTACGACTGGGACGGCGGCGGAACGCTGTACGGCTGAGACGGCGGCGGAGCGCTGTAACCGTAGCCGTGAGAATTTGGATTGGGATATCCTGACATTTTTTTTGTTTTTCGCAGCAAGTACGAGAGACGGAAAACGAAAGAGAAAAAAAGAAGACGCGTTTGGTGTTTAAGGACGATGGAGCGTACTTATGAAAAGCTCAGGTTGTGTGTACAAGTTGCCATGTGGCATGTGCAGATCACACCCATATTATCAAAAGTCAAACTTTTCGAATCGTCGACACTGGAACGGTTATTTTTAGTTCCTTAACTGTACCGTAATGGTAAATGCAATCCTTTTAAGTATAAAGATAATCTTACTTCTTCTTCCACGCTCCGACCCGACATAACATTTTAAAAAATATAAATTATGGTGACTCGGTGACTCAGCAGACATGATCAAATGTTGGTGCACACAAGGAATTTATCTACTTTGAACATAATCCCCACATTGACATTGCCGAAGTTTGAACATTTTACATTTATCTCTTCTTCTAAATATTGTTTAATGAACCATTGAGTTAAGCTCATGTAAGCTAAAGATAATCTTACTTGGTTTTTGAGTTGGTTGTGTAGTGATTATTTTAATCCATTGCTTCAAGTACTCGTTAAAATCTAATCTTGGTGTAAAATTAAATTTGAAATTTTATTTGTTTCTCTAAAAACACATGTCAAGATAAGTATATGATTGAATATGAAATGTCTCAAATTCTAGCTACTCTCCTTCATTTCTTTTCCTATTTTAGTGTTTGATTAAGTTTAGATTTAGGTTCCTTACCATTTTTTTGAAGCTTAGATTCTAACATTTCAATATTGTTCTTCCATTTTAGTAGATAAGTTTCTACTTCTTTATATATCTTTCTTTGATGTTATTTATGCTTTATTTTTGTGTTGTTATTATGTTTATGTTTAATATGTGTGTAATTAGTTTATGGACTTGAGTAATGGTTGTATTATCCATATAGATACCAAAAATTTTTATTGCATGATGGGTAGAACTTGAATTTAGGGTTCAAATGTTTGTGAAATATTTGCGATTGAATATTGTTAATGTTTGGTAGGTAACATTCACTAGCTTGTATTTTGAGAGTTCACTGCCACCACGAAAATTGGTTGAAGAACTCAAGTCGCTTCTTTTCACAACCTAATTTCTCTATATGAAAATAAGAGAATAGTGGGGGCATTGATGTTTTGTGAGCTTGAAGAACTTTGAGTTGAAGCATCACGAAAGTGGAACAATCCCTTGTTCTAATCATTGTTTGATTGACCAAGAAAGTGGCATTTAGGTTATGATTCCTTCGTTCATTCCATCTTGATCCATTGGTTATTTGTTCTTCATAATTCTATAGGCTTTTGTAGCATCTAGAATGTGATATCCCTAACTCGAGCCATATATTTTTTATTGTGTTTATTTTGTCTCTTGAGTGTGTTGATTTGCCCATCCATGTCCATGAATGCGATTGGATTTGTATGAGTTCAGGACTTTAGTGTCTAGAAGTTTGGTAATTACACAAGTACATGGCAGAGCGCCAATCTTATGCGAACCAATAACTTTTCACCAACAATCCTTAACCACTATTTTTGCAATGATCATGTCTAACAACGGCCAACATAAATCCGATATCCAAAAACACAATTCTTTCATCATCCTCATTTTATTGTACGTAACAATGGGGAAATATCTTCAACTTCTCACGTAACATACACTAATAATGTATGCACCACTCAATGAAACTTATTCTCTTATGTTAACTATTGGAAGTTTTGTTATTGTGTGAATTATCACGTTTGCATTATTGAACTAGATCCATATGGGTTCTTGGTGTGTTGAGTTCAAGTATTGTGAAGATTTTAATGGTGGGATCATAATCATATGCCATGGAACATTAGAGAGCCAAAATACTAGTTGTCAAAATCATGGTAAATAATGACAAGCTTCTAAAGATATAACACTTGAAAAGTTTTTGATGAGGTGCGAAAATTGTAGAAGTTAGCTCATTTTCTCCACAATGTCCCACTTCTCAGTCATGCCCATTTGAATATAATTTGTTATAGATAAAGTTGTAACAATTTCTACGTATTAATGTAATATATATATATATATTATTTGTCTTCTATATAATTTAATGTAAACTTTTTTTCATATTTGATCTTCTGTCCACGCTAGGTTTTAACATACTTGAGGTGAAAGACAAACATAGACACTATTTAGGAACTAAATAAGATATACTAATTATAATTAAGGAACTCATTTTACCCATCTATCATAATTAATTGACTAAAAAGGTCATTTTTCCCTTATGAAATTGCATTTATATTCATCATAGTTCTTACATTGCAACCACACACACACATATATATATATCAATCGAAATGGAATTTATAATTCTTAGATTATAATTCCAACCAAAAGGAAACAAAGTAAGGATTTATTGCTTAAAATCATAATTCCAAAACCGGTGAAGAAAGGAGATGAAGAAGAGTGGTAAGTACGAGTCGTGTAAACTCTTTTTCCTTACACAGGATGCAAGAAATAAGTAGGAGCAGTGTTTTCAAGAGAGGAAAATCTTTCAATTTAAAATTGCCCTTTTGATCCCAATTTGGGATTTGATTTACAATCATCCTTCACGCTGGAGAAAGTCTCTATACTATACAATTCAATAAGCCTTAAAAGAACTCTTATATAAATAGTGGAACAAATCCTTTTTCCCAAACCAATGTGGGACAAAAGCTTCCTCCAAGCTTTTTCTCTTCATTTTTCCAACTTAAATGGATCTACTTTGAGAATCAATATCTCATTCACCCATTATCCGTTTTGAGCGTACAATATATCAATCTCTTCGTCTCCCTACGAAGAACTCGAATCCAATTTGACCCGACCCAAATCAGAAGTGAATCCCACTGATAATTGTACTACAAAATAATCACTTAAAATGTCATTTTAATGCTATTTTTCCAACAGAGATTACTAACTTCTCGATAATTCAATGAGTACAAAAATAAATATTACATTACAAACCAATCAAATAACATTGTGGTTTGCCAAGCACCTTGTGCTCAGATGGCATGTAGTGACATCACCCATATGGGAGGTCATGAGATTGAATCTCAGTGAAATTAAAGTATGTTTGAACAGATATTACAATGTAATAGAGTCAGTAGCATTAAAAAAACGTTATATATATATATATATATATATATATATATATATATATATATATATATAGAGAGAGAGAGAGAGAGAGAGAGAGATAAAATTAATACCCAAAATGGTCATTGACTATAATGATTTTTCTCAATTTCGTCCTAAACGATTTTATTGATCTAATGTAGTCATTGGCTTTTGTATTTGTTTTTTTTTTTTTTTTTTTTAATTTAGTCATCTGTTTATTATCCGTACATGTGGTGTTGAATAGATAGACAATTCAGTAATTTCAATATTGATATCTCTTTAATCTTAGACATGTGAAGTGTGAAATCCATCTTTATTTTACGATTTACTTCCAGACTTACTCCCAAACCTATGAATTTACAATTTGATTAATAGGTCAGAGAGTAATTGGTATTCCGCACTTCACATGGCTGAAAGTGAATAGAGGTCAATACTAAGATTACTGAATCATCCATTTATTTAACACTAATTTGACATGATAACAAACGGAATACTAACTTGATTGAAAATATAAAAGTATGTGACTACATTATGTAACCAAAGTTATTTATGATGAAATTGAGAAAAATCACTATATTCGATGACCATTTTGGGTATAACTCTATATATATTGTTAAAAATGATTTGAAAAAAAATTTGAGATGATGGTAGATAATCAACGGATAGAAACGAAGACATGAAAAGATCATAGCCGTGGCTTAACAGGAGCAGACATTCCCTCTCAAAATCGTTTTTGACGCGCTGAAACAGAACACACACACACACAAAGAAAGCTCGATCAAAAGAAGCGCACATTAACCAACGCCACCCCCACCCCACTCCCAGCGCACGTTAGCACCTATCCATGCACTTCTCACCTCTGCCTACGCATCTTCCCCTTTCTTTCTCTCCCTACACCCTTCTTCCCCCTTATCCCTCTATTTCTCCGTCTAGGGTTAGGGTTCTCCGTTTCTACATTCCTTTCTGCTTTCTCCTCATCTTTCGCCGACTACTCGTGCAGCCGTTCAATTTTAGCTTAATTTACACACTTTCGTCTCCAGATGCTCTTCTCCCGTCGCCGGCTGTAGTTCATGGATTCCAATAAGCGTCTTTCCTACTCCAATTTGTTCAATCTTGAGGTATGTGGAATTGCCTTTTCGTCCTGTTCAATGGGGTGTCTTTACTTGTTGTAACCGTGCTGATGTGCTGAGCTGATTTACTTGATTTAAAGTTAGGCTTTTTTAATGTCTAATATTTTTTTTTTTCTGCCTGTATTATTATTATTATTTTCAAATTTACGATTTTTCATTTAGACTATGAATTTGGTCTTTAATTCTTTATACTTACAATTGGGTAGTGTAAACTGTTAAGCCAAATCAAAGGCTTTCTAGTGAATGGTATTGACTTGAAATTTTTTCAAGAACTGTAAATTTTCGGTTCTTTTTTGAACGTCTTCAGAAGCTGCTTTTTTGTTGATTTTTCTGGGATTTTTGTAGTCCCTGGTGAACTTTCAGCTGCCACGGGACGAGGATGATGATTTTGATTATTATGGGAATAGTAGTCAGGATGAGAGCAGAGGTAGCCAAGGTATGCACTTTAATGTTTCATTTCTAATTCAATTAATTTTCTGTTAATTTTCTCATGGTTGGGGATTGAATTCTTCAAAATTTGCTCAGTCCTTCATTAACAGTTTGAAGTTAAATAGAGCAGTTGAAGTTGTTATGGTCTTGCAATAGGATGTGATTTATTTGTCTTAGTAAATGACATTTTTAGACTATAATATTGTAAATAATTTTTAAGTTGGCATGTTTCATATTGTTTGTCAATAGGAGCTATAGGGGAGCGAAGTAATGGGGTGCTGTCTGGGCGGGAATTGAAGAAGAAGAGGCGGACTGCATATAGCAGTGAAGAGGACGAAAACAGAAATTATAGTACATATATCTCAGAGGAAAAGTATAGAGCAATGCTTGGTGAGCACATTCATAAATATAAGAGGAGACTTGGTACATCCCCAGCAAACATTGCATCAACACGAACTGTGATGCCTAGTGCAAAAAACAGTTTAGGGCTGAAGGATCCGGAACTGAAAAGTGATCAAAGAGGAGGATTGCTTAAACTTGACTCTGCATCAGATTTTCTAAGCAAAAATAATTCACAGAAGCTAGGAAACTATCTTCAATCTGATGTCCCAAAATTTGTGGTCGATAGGTATGCTTCTCCCTGTACTTCTTTTTGGACTATAGTGCCAATATTTTTTGTAATTTCTTAGCATTGAAATCCTTCTGCTGTAGTGAAAACAGAAAAAAAGAAAAAAAAAAGAAGGGGGAGAATGAACAAACAGAATGCCACATGTAAATCAGATCAAATTACAGATCAAATTATGAGCCTAGTCTAATACTTTGAATATTTACAGATCAAATTATGAGCCTGCTTTCTTGGATATTGGGGGAGGCAAGACTTATAGCATCCCTCCTCCTTATGAAAAGCTTTCAGCAACGTTGAACTTGCCTACTGTAGCAGATATCCAAGTTGATGAAATTTACCTTCAGGGCACTCTTGATTTGGAGACATTGGCTGCAATGATGGCTTCTGACAACAGGCTTGGGCCCAGAAGCCAAGGAGGAATGGGTGATCCTATTCAACAGTACGAATCTCTACAGGCAAGACTTAAATCTCAGTTGACTAGTAACTCAGTCCCAAAATTTAGTCTTCAAGTCAGTGAAGCTGCGTTGGAGGCATCCTCTATCCCCGAGGGGGCAGCTGGATCAATACGACGTTCTATCTTGTCAGAGGGTGGTGTTTTGCAGGTTTATTATGTTAAGGTGTTGGAGAAAGGAGACACATATGAGGTAAGTTATTTCTTTTGAACATTAGCAATTGCTTTCTTTAATAGGCAGAAGGACCTTGATTTTGTTACTTACACGTGTGGGGATGCCTGGACAGATTATTGAACGTAGTCTGCCCAAAAAGCCAAAGGTGGAGAAAGACCCTGCTGTGGTTGAGAGGGAAGAGATGGAAAAGATTGGAAAATATTGGGTGAATATGGTTAGGAAAGACATCCCAAAACATCACAGACTTTTCACTAATTTTCACAAAAAGCAATTCACTGATGCCAAGAGGTTCTCAGAAACCTGTCAAAGAGAGGCAAGTGCAACAAATGTTTCTGCGTTTGTAATATTTTCATTTTGTTGGGATGGTCGTTATTCCAGTGGCATTTAAAATATGTGTCATTTTAAAAATAATCTTGTGTCCCAACATTGGGTTTGTTTTTAGTTCTTACCTTTGAGCTCGAATGGTTCCTTTTTCCAGGTAAAATTGAAGGTTGGTAGATCGCTTAAGGTGATGAGAGGTGCTGGAATACGTACTAGGAAACTTACCAGGGACATGTTGGTATTTTGGAAGAGAGTTGACAAGGAGATGGTATGTTGCTTCTATCTTTTGCCTACTTGTTCAATTTCAGTTGATTTTTGCATTTGCATGTTAACATAATTACAAAAATGTGCTGTTTTTTGCCTACACCTAGTAAAGAGGAAATGGAGAAAGAAAAATAAACACCCACATGATGTTAAATATTCAAGAGAAGAAAGCATAAAGAAGATGCTACAAGGAAATTTGAAAATTAAACACCGACATGATGTTTATATTTGACAGAAAGAGCTTCTCTTATATTTACTGATTTACTAAAGAACTTTTTCTGATGTTAAAATAATCTTACATTGCAGGCTGAAGTGAGGAAGAGAGAGGAAAAAGAAGCTGCAGAAGCTTTGAAACGTGAACAGGAGCTTCGTGAAGCAAGGAGGCAACAGCAAAGGCTCAACTTTCTGTTGTCACAAACTGAACTTTACAGCCACTTTATGCAGAACAAGTCATCCTCACAACCCACCGAGGCCTTGAATATTGACAGTGAAAGAGCAGATGACCAAGAAATGCTGTTAAGTTCTGCTGAAGCTCAACCTGGAGAGGAAGAAGATCCTGAAGAGGCTGAGCTGAGAAAGGAGGCTCTGAAAGCCGCTCAAGATGCAGTTTCAAAGCAGAAAAAGATGACAAGTGCATTTGATAATGAATGCTTGAAGCTGCGGCTAGCTTCTGAAACTGAGAACTCCCTACCAGATGCCTCAGTTACCGGTTCTAGTAACATAGACTTGTTGCATCCGTAAGTTCAAGGACTCTCAATGTGACTATCCTCTAATAGAAAACTTAACTTTGTTTATATATTTCTTTCCTCAATCTTAGTGTATTGAGAGTATCTGGTTGTCAGGTCCACCATGCCTGTAGCATCAACAGTGCAGACACCAGAGTTATTCAAGGGTACCCTAAAAGAATATCAACTGAAAGGTCTTCAATGGCTTGTTAATTGTTATGAGCAGGTATCATCTTGCCTTCACTAAATTCCTCTGTATGCTTGCTTCACTGTTGACTTAGCTAGTTCAATTTTCTGTGTCAGGGTTTAAATGGCATTCTTGCTGATGAAATGGGCCTAGGAAAGACCATTCAAGCCATGGCATTCTTGGCTCATTTGGCAGAAGTAAGAGCTTTACTTGATGATCCATTCATATATGTGAAGTGCCTAGAAGTAATTTGACTTCCCTTAAAAAAAAAAATAATAATAACTTGACTTATTTTCTCTACAGGAAAAGAATATATGGGGGCCATTTTTGGTAGTTGCTCCTGCTTCTGTTTTGAACAACTGGGCCGATGAGATTGGTCGTTTCTGCCCTGATCTAAAAACACTTCCATATTGGGGTGGGCTGCAAGAGCGGACGGTGCTTAGGAAGAATATTAACCCCAAGCGTCTTTATCGACGGTAGATCTCACTCTACATTGATGGCTATATTTTCTCCTCTAAAGGATACTAAATTGTGAATTGGCTAGTTATTTCAATGGTTATTTTGTGCTCTAAAAGTTGTTGATTATGCCATTTTAATTATTCTAAATTTCTGGAAATCAGTACCTGAATAGCAGACATGTGGAAGGGCATTTCAGGGTAGAATACTGATTTTTGATGAATTTAAGTAGATGAAAACAGAAAGAAGTGATTACATGACTATTTGTGGAATGACTATCGCTTGGAAGATTTAAATTATATCTTTCACACAATAGAAGTATTGAGGGTGAAAGTCAAATGCTCACCCTCCCTGCCCTTTCCTCTCTCTCTCTCTCTCTCTCTTTGTTGTTATATACATCCTCATGTGTGCTTTCCTGTCAATGTATAATGTTCTTGGATGTGCCCAAGTTTTGGGTAAATCATGTATCTTAGTTCTCTATGCAACCATGATGTGGGGATGTTGTTGGATACTTGGGTTATTGTCATATCCAAATAGGGAAAAATGTAGGAAGAGTTTCTGCCCAGCCTAGAAATTGGATGGTTCTATAATGACTTGTCTTAGCTATTTCTTGTCAGGGATGCCGGATTCCACATTCTCATCACCAGTTACCAACTTCTAGTGTCTGATGAGAAGTACTTCCGACGTGTTAAATGGCAATATATGGTGTTGGACGAAGCCCAGGCAATTAAAAGCGCAAACAGGTTTCAGCATCTACCCTGAACATGCTTTTTGACTCATGAACATTATCTGTTTAAAATCTATTATGAATGAAACGACTTATACAATAGTTATTGATGGTTGACAATTTTTCTTCCAGTGGCAGTTTTCCTACTTTCTGTTTGAAAAAAAAAAAAAACCCCCTTTAAATGATACTCCATAAGTCAATATTAATTTTCTCAACTGCTAATGCTTTGATTGTACATGATTTTTGGGTTAGAGAGAATGAATCCTTGTTTAATACCCCCTTGAAAAATGTTCTTTATTTTTATCTTGACAATCCTGTTCTTCGCACTGTAGTTAAGAACATTGTAATTACTCCGTATTTGTTATTGTATCAGCGACTATTTAGAGTACTTCTTGAGTTGTGCTATGTTCCTATAAGAACATAATCTGTGTAGACATTTGTCACTCTATTAGTTTGTATACGTCTGTATGTTTACACTGCTGAACGTCCAGCATTTGTAAGATGTTAATGACTATTTTTTCTCATTTTATTGTCTTTGATTTTGGATTGACAGTATAAGATGGAAGACATTACTGAGTTTCAATTGTCGAAATCGCTTGCTTTTGACTGGTACTCCAATCCAAAATAACATGGCTGAGCTGTGGGCTCTCCTACATTTCATTATGCCCACCTTATTTGATAGCCATGAGCAATTTAATGAGTGGTTCTCAAAAGGGTAAGTCCTTTATGCTGGTAGTTTTCTGAGTTTTCCTGGAGTGTAAAGTGTTTCTCATTATTATATGTTCTTTATAATCAGAATTGAGAACCATGCTGAGCATGGTGGGACCTTGAACGAGCACCAGCTTAATAGATTGGTAAGCAAACTTTTAATTTCTAGAATATTTCCGTGTCTCTATATCAGGATTTATAATGGTTGTTCTTTAGACCTTTTATCCTACAAAAAATCTTAGGAAAATACTGAGATTTATTTTATGATATGTAGTGCAAAAAATGTTCGGAAAAATAAATGACCTAATGAACTGTAATAGAAGTATAGGTTTCCTATTTGTCAAAACATGGAGTATTGAAGTAATCTTCTTCCATGTTTGGTCTTTCTCCTGTATGCAACATGTGCTCTCTCTCTCTCTTTTTTTAAAAAAAAAATAATAATAATTTATCCCTGAATTTCTGAAACAGCATGCAATTCTGAAGCCATTCATGCTGCGGCGGGTTAAAAAAGATGTAGTCTCTGAGTTGACTGGGAAAACTGAGATAACAGTGCATTGTAAGTTGAGTTCTCGACAGCAGGCATTTTACCAAGCTATAAAGAACAAGATATCACTCGCAGAGTTGTTTGACAGCAGCCGTGGGCATCTTAATGAGAAAAAAATAATGAACCTAATGAATATTGTCATTCAGTTGAGGAAGGTGATTATTTTTTCCCTAGCTGGTTATGTTTACTCCTTTTTGCACTTATGGATTACGAAATTTATGTATCTTGGTATTTGAAATGTTAAATTTTTCTAGCTGTTTATGTTTTTCCCATTTATGTATTATATATGAAATTTGTGAACCTCATGCGCAAAATGTAAATTTATTTTTTTTCAATTTGTAATAACAGGTTTGTAACCATCCAGAGTTATTTGAGAGGAATGAGGGAAGCACTTATTTCTATTTTGGGCAAATTCCAAATTCACTTCTTCCTCCTCCCTTTGGGGAACTGGAGGACGTGTATTATTCTGGTGGTAGAAGTCCTGTTACATACCAGGTATTTTATGAAGTCCATTTTTGGGTTTGTTCTTTGTTTTTAAGACAGTTTGTAAAGTCCCATTTTTGCATACTTTCATTATGTGCCTCTTGTCCAATAGAAAAAATTCTAATAGTAGCAAGAGGAATTTATTTTGCTATTTAGCAGCCAAACATTATTTTGGGTGTACACTCCATTTGTTATCTTAAAATTAAAAGAACTGAATGTCTGAATCATGTGCCAACCGAAAGGTTCCTCATGATTCTTTATTGGAAAAATCCCCTTTATTACTCTGGTATATGGTTTAATGTTTAGCAAATTGAGCCCATGATCCCTACTGTTTTTCTTGATTTTTTTTTTTTTTTTTTTTTTTTTAAAAATAATTGGGTTGAGGTTCATGTTGTGCCAATTGTATCTTTGATCTCTTAGTTATGCATTAAATGGTCCTTGTCTGTTGACAACATTTCACAATCACCCATGACAATAAAATTTCCCAGGCAACAGGTGTGGGGACCACTTAATAATGTATCTTAAAAATCAGGGATGTGATTGAAAGAATTCAAACTTCAATGTGAAATCTACAACTGCTAAAAACAAGTCAACAAGGAACACACAATTTTCTTGAATGTTCTATGCAATTGGTAATATAATGGGTCCCCATCTCTATTGTCGAGGCACAATAACAATGGGTGGAACCAGGGGCATGTGATAATACCCCCAATTGTGAAGAGTCTAAGTTTTTCCTCCTTCAAGGGGCCCAGATTGTTCCAATCCCTTTAGTAGATATCTGCAGATAATGATCTCTTTGTATAAGTATAACTCATTGTTCTATTAATACTTTGCAGATGCCAAAACTGGTCTTCCAAGAAATCCAGAACTCAAATTCGATATGTTCTACATTGGGACACGGTATTAGTAGAGAATTATTTGAAAAATACTTCAACATATTCTCTCCAGAGAATATTCATTCTTCTATACTCGGGCAAACACAGAAGTCTGATGATTATTATGTAAAAAGTGGAACATTTGGGTTTACTCGTATGATTGATGTGTCACCTATGGAAACATCATTTTTGGCAACTTGTTCTTTGTTGGAAAAAATATTGTTTTCAATAATTAGATGGGGTCGACTATATTTGGATGAAATGTTGGACCTACTGATGGAGAGTGAGGATGCTGATATCAATTACAATCACATTGGACGGGACAAAGTAAGAGCTGTCACACGAATGTTATTGTTGCCATCAAAGTCAGACACAAATTTATTCAAGAGGACATTAGAAACTGGTCGTGGTGATGCTCCATTTGAAGCTTTAGTCATGCCACATCAAGATAGGCTCTTATCTAATATTGATCTTCTACATTCAATATATTCTTTTATACCAAGAGCAAGATCACCCCCAGTAAGTGATGCTTTATTTGCTTCCTCATTGACTCTTGTCTTACAGGCAAAAGTTTTAATGCATCACTAATGCTTGTTTGTTTCATAGATACATGCAAATTGCTCAGATAGGAATTTTGCTTACAAAATGGTTGAGGAACTGCATAATCCCTGGATTAAGAGGTTGTTTGTGGGATTTGCGCGCACATCCGACCATAATGGTCCAAGGAAACCGGCTAGTCCACACCCCTTGATACAAGAGATTGACTCTGAACTTCCTGTTTCACAGCCTGCTCTTCAGCTCACATATAAAATTTTTGGGTCGTGTCCACCCATGCAGCCATTTGATCCTGCAAAGATGCTCACGGTATATATATCCACCTTTGTGATGTCATTTCTCTGGTATCTCTCTCACCTATAGTTTAGAACATCTTAGTCTTGAGTTGTGTTTTCAGGACTCTGGCAAGCTTCAAACGCTAGACATATTGTTGAGACGATTGCGTGCTGGAAATCATCGAGTTCTTCTCTTTGCACAAATGACAAAAATGTTGAACATTCTAGAGGTATTTTATATTCCTTGTTCTTATTAGTAGGTTACATTATCTCTTGGCAACATCATGATAATGATAGTAGTCAGAAATCTCTTACATGACTTGGTTGTCCGAGACCTGATCTTGTATACTCTATACTGGTTGTAGTATCTTTATTTTGTCCATTTTTTGGACACCTGATTATATGATGAGATCATTGATTTCTTTTGCTGAGGGCTGAAATGAAACATAATCAGGGTTTCATCTCTATTGTTAGATTATGGCAGTTGATCCCTATATCCACTGTTTTATGTTTTATGGATAGGATTCCCAAACATAAAATTTTGTTCTGATGTCAGTCCTGCTTGGTGTATTCTTTTAATAGCAAATGGATTGCATTGTTTATCTTTTGGGAAAATTTCACTTGGACCACATGATCTTTCGTTCTTAATACCTCCCATATCAGAGTTTTCTTTAAAACTATTGCTTTCTTTTATTTTTTATTCTTTTTCCATTTTTACACTTTCCTTTTCCTCTTATCTGAAAGTTTTGCTTTAACAATTGTCATTTTGTGCCAGGACTATATGAACTACAGGAAATATAGATACTTGAGGCTTGATGGATCCTCCACTATAATGGATCGTCGAGACATGGTCAGGGACTTCCAGCACCGGTAAGTGTTGTTGAATTAAAATGGTGGTTTTCCTGAGTACATCTATTGGAACTTACTGTTAAGGATTTTCTTGCTGTAGGAGTGATATCTTTGTGTTCCTGCTAAGTACAAGAGCAGGTGGCCTGGGAATCAACTTGACAGCGGCTGATACTGTCATATTCTATGAAAGTGACTGGAATCCTACTCTAGATCTTCAAGCTATGGATAGAGCTCATAGGCTGGGACAAACTAAGGAAGTAAGGTTCCCTTTTTTGTTTTTCTTTTTTCGTTTCTTGTGATTAAGCTTTTGAGTTCTAGTATAATTTTCTAGGCAGGAATTGTGCTATCGTATGTAGTATATCCTAAATTGGAACCTGTGAATATTCTTGGGGGGAAAACACAGCTGAAAGATTATGTAGAAACTGCAAGCACACACTTCATTATACAATTTGTGTAATTATGGTGCATTCATATTTTAGGTTACTGTTTATCGCCTGATTTGTAAAGAGACCGTGGAAGACAAAATATTGCTGAGAGCTAGTCAGAAAAACACAGTTCAGCAGCTTGTCATGACTGGAGAACACGTTCAGGGTGACCTTATGGCACCAGAAGATGTTGTCTCATTATTGCTTGATGACGCCCAACTTGAGCAGAAGCTGAAAGAAATTCCACTTCAGGTGGGAAATCAAAGATATTGGTTCATTCTTTTATTGTTCTTTTTCAGATCAAACTATCAAAAATTTTCAAGCTTGTGAGTAATTATTATATTTTGTTCTCGTCAGGCTAAAGAAAGGCAGAAGAAGAAAGGTGGAACTAAGGGCATAAGGGTTGATGCAGACGGCGGTGTATTTTTGGAAGATTTTGCAGATAATGCTAATGGTATTGAATCCACTGCTGACCCTGCTGATAAAGGAAAATCAAGTAAAAAGGTGAATATTTTCCCAATTTATTTTGAATGGAATAATGATTTTGATTCTTACTACTTATGCGCATGAATAGTCACACTATTTACATCATATTTCATATAACCAGTTGGAAAACTGAAGTAAACGGGTCCATAACATAGTAGATCATGCAAATGACCTCTTTAAGGAAGCAAACCTTATTATTGGAAAAATTAGATCGGGAATTTAGTCTATACAGGTCCATTATGAACACTCGCACTATTATACCACTAGTTTTTGCATTTGATAACAATCGTATTATGTGCAGAGAAAATCTACTGCTGACAAGCAAGCACCTTCAAAATCGAGGCCTCAAAAGGTTCCCAAGAATGTTGAATATTCATCTCCAAACTCAATAGCAATGGATGACGAGATGGATGATCCCCTAAACGACACTGAAACACGACCACAAAGACCAAAAAGGCTGAAAAGGCCAACAAAGAGTGTAAACGAGACCCTTGAACCTGCATTTACTGCCACACAGATTGCAGGTCAAGACGGTAATCAAAAACCGCCTCTCCCTGATCCCAGTGTTGGTGGTCGGAGAACAGCAGTCGAGGAAGAGAGTCCAAGGCAGGTTAACTGAAACTGTTGCTGTCCCGTTGAAGCTGCCATGGCAGAATGTGTGGCGATTTGTATAGCAATGCTGTGTACAGATATTTTTGTAGTGATCTGCAAGATTACATGTCCGATATAACGGGGAAAAGTATAAGGCCGGATTAATGGTGGATGTAGTCACCCCCGACCCACTCCCGCCCCTATGTACAGTACTACCTATTTGCCTATTTTTGAGCACTAAAGCTGTATTAGATGACAGGAAAGAGATCTTCTGTAATCAGGCAAGAGCAAGAGAAACAGCCAAACGTTGTCCGTTGGAAAAGATTTTGCAAATAATTTACTGATCAGTAGCATATATAGTCTTCAATACAAAATTCTCTTTCTGCATACAATTACAATTACCTGACAATTTTTCTCAGAATATGAAGAAACATTATTTCCTTTTAACAGAGGAGAAAATGGACTAATATCTTGGTGTTCTCCAGCAGCAAAAGTTTACAGTTTTAGAAAGAACATAATCTTTGACAAGTCTATAATATAAACAGGACTAAGATGCTTAGAGAAGCTTTGATTCAAGAGAAAGTTTGCAGCTACTACCTGAATGTGTGCACTGAGTGAAGTCTGTTTTGTGATCCTACTCCAAAAAATTACAAGGAGATAAACCAGACTAGGTTGCTAAGCTGATCAGCTTAAACCAATAGTTAGCTCTCACGAGTTGAACTTGGAACCTTGTGGTATGGTCTTTTTAATTAAAAAGAATTGTTTCATAATTCCAATCTCGTGTCATATGCCAACTTCACTTGGTGATGGACAAAATTGTATGGAGATCCCATCACTGGCATGCCAAAGAATGATACTTTCAGGACACCTGAAAAGTCCAAACCACACAAAGACCATAAGAAAAGATCTATTTGCCTCTTATCTGCACAAGTTTTTCAACATTTTCTTTGTAGGGCATCCAAAATGGATAGCTTGGGGTGCTAGATCTTACTGAATTAGGGATCGAACTTTGAGACCTCTTACATAGATCTCAGGCCTATGCCACTAGACTACGAGGTGTCAACTTCCATGAAAGTTCTATGAAGAGCTATTAATCTTCACTTTTTAATCCAGTGCAGACAGGAATGCAAGTATGTAACAGATTGTGATACCTTCTCTGTGCTAATGGTGCGAAGGTCACTTAAAACCTCAGCAAAATCGGTTGGTGGTAGCTGAGTGAAGTGTACGTTTTCTCCTGTTTTGGGATGCCTAAACCTTAAAAACACAAAAGGAATATGCAATAACGACTGGATTAGATTTACGTTACTGAATTTGAAATGAATATAGCAAATACAAAAAACTTACCCAAGAGTTAAAGCATGGAGACAAGGTCTTTCCAATCTAGAGATTAGTTGCAGGAGTTTTCCGTGAAACTCAGAAGGGTTCCTTTGCTGAAGCAATGAAAGGGCCATGCTCTTTGTTCCTCCGTAAACCTCATCACCCAGCAGGGGGATGCCAAGGTACTTTGCATGTGCTCGGATCTGTTTTGAAGAAACTACTAATTTGAAGATAAGTTCCTCGAACAGGTAATCCAGAACGGCCAATTTCACATCGTAGAAAGAGAGTAGCAGCAGTAAGAATTTGTCCTATTCTCATTCTCTCCCAAGTCGCTCAGTTTTTTTCGCGGTTTTTAAAGATATACTTTTTCATGAATAATGTAATAGCAATCATGATAGTAATGAACTAAGCTAGAAATTTGTTGCTCTCCGTGCTTTGAGGATGCTTAAATGCCTAATTATATCCTCAACCTAGGAAATGCAAATCCTAAAATGTGAAACTTGTTGAATTTGGAAGATGGGGCCTGGCGGGTGGAGAATAACACCACCCGCCAGTTAGGCGGAAGCAATATGAAGAATCAGAAATGAGAGAATGTATATAATACTAAGATGTTATAATATATATATTCTATATTCTCTGTTTCTAATACAAAAACACAGTACATATATATACACAAAGACATAACTGTAAATAAGTACCCATAACTTACACCTATTCATAAACAGACACAACCCTATAGATAAACCTATCTATTTAGTTTTCAACAATAACACGACAAGGATTTGCACAATAAATGTTAGCCGGTTTAAAAGGATAATATTAATTAGCACCTGATGAGTACGTCCAGTTTCCAGTCTCCATTCAACCAAGGCAGAACCACCACCAGCAAGTATTTCAATCACTTTGTATCTGAAAATTCAAAAAAAAATTCAAACTTTTTCATAGTCTCTATGTAGCACAGACCACAGACACTGAAAATAAAGAAAGAACTTATATTTTCTCTCACTTTTTTCATTCTCTGTTGGAATCCTAGGGTGCCTAAGAGGGAAGTGGATGAGAAATCCCACTTCAAAGTCTTCAAGAAATTATCAATGGAACTAGTGAAACATGGAAGGGCATTTATCACCTACTAGCAGCATGACGGGTTTTCCCATTCTTGCTAAACCCAGAGATAGCAGCCATACGAAGTCTATTGTTTGGATCACGACCTATTGGAATATCGATGCGTCCAGAAGCCGGTGTAGGCACTCCACAAGTAAGAGCAACATAGACTCGCTTAATGCTATGCTTCTTGAATTGCTCTGCTAGATGAGCGTGAGAATATTCATCCTACAAAGTGCAGAAAATCACAAACTTTCCAAATTAAGCAAAAACATGACTCAAACATACAGTCGGGAAGTGGTTTGTGTTACCAATATTCAGACTGTAAGTAGAGATCACCTTGGCTACAACAAGCAATCCACTGGTTCCTTTGTCCAATCTGTGCACTATTCCTGGGCGAATAGACGCCTCTCCTATAGCAGAATAGTCACCCCCAACGTAATCTTGCTCAGAAGAGAAGGTACTCAACTCATCATCTAAAGCAGCCTCCCCATCAGAAAGCACTTCCTGATATGGGAATGATGCTACGGGAAGACTACAATGATGAAGAATTCCATTTACAAGCGTTCCAGTAGGATTGCCAGGTGCTGGATGAACAACCTTGTATCGTAAAAGGTTATAGATTCAATATCACAACTAAGTGGAAATCCATTATACGAGTACAAGATTGCATCACATAAATGAATACCCCAGACAAGACGACAGTTCTTTACCAAACTCAAAACAAGCAATAATGAAAATTTACAAATTAAAAATAAGCAACACGGAATGTTGTTTAAGTACTCAACTCACCATATGTGCAGGCTTGTTAACAACAAGCACATGATCATCTTCATAAACAATGTCCAGTGGCATATCTTCGGGTTCTGCTGTCAAAGGCTGCAACTCAGCAATCGTGCAATTAACTTTATCCCCTCTTTTCACTGTATGCGAAACCTACAACAAGCAATCTTTCTAAGTCAAAAGAACTGCATACCAAAATGAATACACATTGCCCAGAGGAAGCAAGCAAAGGTGCAAACTTTGAATTGGGAGAAGCATTTAGATATTGTGCCCGTACAGGTACCTCACCTCAGTTAGTTCTTGAGTAGTAGATTGTGGGCAAGGACACAGACTGGTAGACACAATGTGGGAGTTACACCCCACTATGGTGGGCTCCTTGTGGGCACCAGCCTCCCACCTAATAGGCCGCTAAGCCACCGTGATTTATCCTACTATAGATACTATCCTGTACGGGTAGCTCAGTTGGTTCTTGAGTTACACCCAATATGGTGGGCTCTTTGTGGTCCATTACCACAATCTAATGGACCGCCGAGCCAGGTGGGGCCTGTGGCTAGGGAATTTCGTCTTATGTGGGCAAGGATTTAGATACTGTTTGCAGATGACTTGAAACTTCAGAAGTTTTACAGGGCCAACAGTTCTTTAATTCATAATAAAAATCAAACCTTTGATATTCAGGTGTAATTACAATCAACCGTTTGAACACAACTCTTCACTCAAAACAAATTGGATATCAAATTCAAAATTTAAAGTAAACTGACAACCTTATCAATGATGCGGCCATTAACAGTGACGAGTCCAGAACGAATGCTGGACTGAACTCGAGCTCGGCTCACGCCATCAATGCGAGAAGAGATCCAAGAGTCGAGTCTGAGCTTCCCCGAACTGGGTTCCACGGTTTCCTCTAGTTTGACGCCGGAGTAGTTAGTGATTTGGTGAGCGGGAATTGGTTCTGGGCGGGCGTTTGAAGGCGCAGACTTGGAGAAAGCCCTGAAAATGAGGTTTGAAATTCTGCCATAAGAGGCAGTAGCTCGAGGGCTTCGGGCAAGAAGAGATAAAGATAAGGAGTTTGAGTTGAGCGCCAACACCATCTTCTTTCTTTCTCTGTCCTCTGCAATTCGTTTCAACTCTTTAATATACCTATGCTCCATTCACCATAGCAGCCATAAAAGGGATTTTTTTTTAACAAAAGGAATTTTGTTACATACATGTTCATTTTTTTTATTTTCTATTTTGTATCTAAAGATTCATATTAAATTAATATATAATGATTTTAATAAAATGATAATTAAAAAAAATAAGAAAAAAATATGATAGATATATGGTAATAATGATGTGTTATCAATGTTAGAATTAAAAATTATTGGTGTTTAATTTTGTATAATAACATTGAAATGTATAACATTTAAAGTAAAATGTATACATTTATTTACAGAGGGACATAAATCAAAGATATAACTTTAATTGAAGCTTATTATGTTTTTAGATTAGATTAAATTAGATATGAATATGATACTATCAAAATATGCAGTGACAATGGGGAGAAGAAAAATGATATTAGGTGACCAAAATTACAGACCGTTGGGGTGGTTGACAGCTTCTAAAATCATTAATTCCATGGGAGTATGGCACCCCCCTTCTGTCCCTATCACTGTTCATTCCTTCCTCCACATTTTCCTTACATAAATAATTACTCCCCATACAATATGACAACTTTTTTTTTGTCCATTTCCTACATCTGCATGCAATTCTCATGTTTTCACTTCACATTTACTGCTCTAATGTACAGAAACCTTAAAAATCTGTGATGGGTCTCCACATTTTTGACTGATTCACTGATCTTTGTAGTTTCAGACATACAAAGGTTTGCTTTCTGGACCTTTTTATCTTCTTTCCCTCCTACCCTTTATTTATTCTGACATATTTTCTGCTGGGTAGATGAACAAACTTAGTTAGGCGGACACTACAATGCTGCATATGCAAAGTTCCCAATTTAGTAAAATTTTTTAGTTATAATCACTGTTCTTGATTGGGATTTTGTCTGTTATTAGCAGGCTGTTAAGAATATCAGTTCTGGTCGATTTAGGTCGGGGTTGTACTAGAAAAGATTCTGTCTTTGTAGTTATCAGTTTGTCATAACTTGCAAGGAAGTTCTTTGAGGGTTCATAGGAGATGCAGAAAGTAAAGATCTTTTTGTTTTCTTAGTCTAGATATATTGCATTTGAGATTAGCCCATCAATTTGGGAATTTGTGTTGAAGCCTGGTAGATCCATATAAGGATTGGGTTTCTTGAGGAAATCTTTATCTGTCAAGAACATTCTTAATAGGTTATTTAAGGATTTTCTAGGCTGGTTTTGGAGCTTTTGGTTGAGTTTTGGCAGAAAGATGGTTGTGGGTGAAGGGGTTATGAGTGGAAAAGTGTATGTGAATGGGGGCATACAAAACCCTAATGGTTTGGAGGAGAAGCTTGATGAACTAAGGCGAAATCTTGGCAAGGGTGAGGGGGACTTGTTGAGGATTGTTGGGATTGGGGCGGGGGCTTGGGGGGCGGTTTTCGTGGCTTTGCTTCAGGATAGTTATGGTCAATTTAGGGACAAGGTTCAAATCAGGATATGGAGAAGGGGCGGGAGAGGTGTGGATAGAGGCACAGCGGAGTGTTTGTTCGAGGTGATCAACTCGAGGGAGGATGTGCTAAGGAGGTTGATCAGGCGTTGTGCATATCTGAAATACGTCGAGGCAAGGCTGGGGGACCGCACCCTCTATGCTGACGAGATTTTGAAAGACGGCTTCTGCTTAAACATGATTGACACTCCGCTTTGTCCTTTTAAGGTTGTCACTAACTTGCAGGAGGCTGTCTGGGATGCTGACATCGTGGTTAACGGGTTGCCTTCGACAGAAACTCACGAGGTGTTTGAAGAGATCGGAAAGTATTGGAAAGAGAGATTGACACCCCCAATCATCATCTCTTTGGCAAAGGGCATTGAAGCTGAACTAGACCCGTTTCCACATATAATTACACCCACACAAATGATTAACCGAGCAAGTAAGCCTTTTGTTTAGTATATAACCATTAATGTGCAATCCAACTATCAGCTTAAGCTTTTAGTTGACATGGAGCACATGCTTCAATTCCTTTATCTTTCGATCACTTGTTATAGCCTTGCTGTTCTGCAAAATAGGAAGAAAAAGGGAAAACGAGAAGTTATTTGATGTCCTAACGCCTAACAGTAGTGGTGTCGTGTTTTTGTCACAGCTGGAGTACCAATTGAGAATATTCTATATCTCGGGGGCCCAAATATCGCCTCCGAGATTTACAACAAGGAATACGCTAATGCTCGGATCTGTGGTTCTGAAAAATGGAGAAAACCACTTGCAAAGTTCTTAAGGCAACCTCATTTTATTGTATGGGATAACAGCGACCTCGTTACACATGAAGTTATGGGAGGCCTAAAAAATGTCTATGCAATTGGCGCTGGTAAGCCAACTATTTTATGCCAATTCGATCTTCAACTGTTTCCTGATATTATACACATTGCCAAGAGACCGTTGTTATCTGGTGCCCGTTTAATTTGATTTTCAGGAATGGTAGCTGCACTGACTAACGAAAGTGCTACTAGCAAATCTGTGTATTTTGCTCACTGCACATCGGAGATGATATTTATCACGCATTTGTTAACTGAAGAACCCGAGAGGCTTGCAGGGCCGCTGCTCGCTGACACTTACGTGACACTGCTGAAAGGTCGCAATGCATGGTATGGCCAAATGATAGCGAAGGGAGAACTGAGCCTGGATTTGGGAGACAGCATAAGCGGCAAAGGGACAATTCAGGTATTCAGATTGTTGAGCATATAACCATTAATGTGCAATCCAACTATCAGCTTAGGCTTTTAGTTGAGATGCAGCACATGCTTTAATTTGATATCAGAGTTAGACCAAAGGTCATGGGTTTGAATCTCAGCGTCACCCATAAGCGACTATGGTCCACGTGTTAGCCATTATTATCAACTTAGGTTTTTAGTTGAAATGGAGCAATAATTTAGCCTGATTCTAGCATCGTTTTTCAGGGAGTTTCAGCTGTAGGAGCGTTTTATGAACTGCTAAGTCAATCCATTTTAAGCGTGTTACACCCGGGAGAGAACAAGCCAGTTGCTCCAGTCGAGCTTTGCCCCATCCTCAAGACGCTATACAAAATACTTATAACGAGGTAAACTTCTGATAGGCCCAAAGAAATGAATCGTTTTCAACTGATTATCCAAGACCTCATGCCTGTGGATAGTCTTATCTTCTGCATTTGATGTTTTTATGTTCAGGCAACAAAAGGTACAAGCTATTCTCCAAGCATTAAGGGACGAAAACCTGAACGATCCACGAGACAGAATAGAGATTGCACAAAGCCACGCGTTCTACAAGCCTTCACTTCTCGGACAGCCTTGAGGCACTTGCATTGCCAACAAAAATCAGTAAAACCGAAGCTCAGCTCGTATCATTATATGTACATACAGTCCATTGTTGTTTGCTGGCAGAGCTGAGCTGCTAATTTCTCATCATTATATGTAACCTGGGATGCATTGTTCTGTTTGGTTCAAGATGTCTGTACAACTATTTGAGATGTTTGTTAAACAAGATTCTCATGAAAGCAGAAAGCTTTTATTATTGAATATATGAGCTTTGCCAATTTTCTTACCTTGTTGCAGACCCATTATTACCAATCAATAAAAACACAGTTAAAAGCCCCGCAAGGTAGCTAAGTTGGTTCAACTGATCACTTTGAAATTTTGCTCCAGCAGCTATGTGAGGGTTCGATGAAAACCCTATGTGCACGCAGACATGAGTGGGAATTCGGGACTTAGATTAATCTAACGTAAAAAACACAAAAGAACAAAATGTTAATCATGGGAATGCCATAGGTGGTTCTGAACCAAAGACTGCATTTTCATATGCAACCCCTAGAACCGAGACTATTTGAAGTGTTTCCGGGCTTGTTTAGGCCGGTTTAAGAAATCATCCTCAGTCACAACCAAGACTACAACTGGAAATGTACATGGATATACCGTATACCCCAGTTTTAGAATCATTAATTGTAGTCCCGGGACATAACGCAATGAGACAATAAATTTGTCTTGTTGTGAGCACCAGTACACAAACACTTTGAAAAATGTGAGACTGTTGATTTAATTTAGAAAGAAAAAAAAAAAGCTTAGACCTTTATATATTCAAACGCTTGGTCCTTACAGTTGCATAAAATCCGTTTACCAAAGACCCTAACTTTATAAATGTCATTAACATGATAATATTACAATCTCATTGTAAAAATTTCAAGGGTGTTCGTGTAATTTAGAGAACAAGAGGGGAGTATCTAAAATTGTATAATTTACGGGGAGGTCAGTGCAATTAGTTTAACAAATGAACTTAAAAGAGCGGTTTTGTCATACAACTCCAAAATCCCAATACCCATTGCTGGATTTGCTGCACTGAGGGCTGAGGCTGGGAAACCCTGCTACAAAACATGGCGGATGGTGCAGCCAATCTTCAAGAAACCCTAAAACCTTTTTACCAGAGAGCGTCAGATGCAGAGGTGTGGTCTCTTTCTCCTTTTCCTGTTCTAGTTTTTTTTTTTTTTTTTTTTTTTTTTTTTTTTTTTTGGGGGGGGGGGGGGGGGGGGGGGGTTCTCAAAATGAGTACTTTGTTTGACCGTGTATTTTTCTATGTTTTGGTAGCATTTCAATTTTTTGTTCTAATTCTGTGGTTTTTGCATTTCATGGAATCATAGTGGATTTTGATGGGAACTATGGCTGATTGGTAAATAGTGTTAGCTGATTGTGTTAGTGGGTTTGACTAGTGATAACATTAGCTTATTGTAGAAAAGTGTTTGTTAAATAAGTGATTACATGTAAAATGGCTTCCATGGAAAAGCTCCTTTGAGCACCTTTTGAATTTTAGTATTTTGGAGCAATAAGCTATTACAAAAAGCTAATTAATCAAATATTCATATTGATTGTTTAACTAAGTCAAACAGTTAATAGTGGTCAAATAAGCTAAAATGAGCTGATAAGCTACCTATGTTACCAAACAGGGCCTATATTGTAATTGATATTTTTAGTTGACTTGTGAGGTTGTCTATTTGAGGAGTCTAAGGAATGTGTGGAAGAATGATGGACAGGTCTATCTACAGGAATTCTGCTAACAAGAATTGTTTGTTTTTCTATGGCATATTGAACACTAACTGGAAAATAAGATCTGTTATAGTTTTATGAGGCTGAGCTTGAATCTAGGTGAAATGAATGTGTAGCAATTATCCTAAAGCTCTCTGATGAAGGGCTAAAAATGGCAACATCATTATTAAAGGATATCATAAATGAAAAATACTCGGTATAAACTTTGGGGCGTGTTTAGAGCTTGTTACTGAAGCATATCTTTTAAGATGCAACTTGCATTCCTCTTGAGAATAATGTATGCTGTTGAAACTGGATTTCTAGGTTACCACTTTAGATCAGCATATTGAAGTGTAATTTGGCCCTTAGTCCTGGTTTATATTCAGATATATTGGTAAACCGGGCATTGTTGAATCTTTGAAATGGCTATTCTTTAGTTCATCTTGAGTATGCCTGGAGTAAATTATTCTTCTTTTGAGTATTACTAGAAATTGCTAACTTTCCTTTCTTTGCATTTAAGGATCGCTTGGCAAGACTTGAAGCCTCTCTTGCCAGCAAGAATAGTATGTATTTGTCTTACTTACTTCCCCCTCTCCACTTCCAGAGGACTTCTCAGCAGTTCTTACCTTGAAATTGATAAATTTCTCATCATCTAACTCAATTGGGATTACTTTTAGATTCTGGAAACGAGCAATTGGCAACAAGGGTTCAGGAACTCCAGTCAAAGTTGGAAGATGCAAAAGTTGAACTTGCTGCGGAGAAAGAGAGGGTTTGTATCTCCAATTCTCCATATTCTTTGTGATCTTTGCCATAAAGTAGTTTAGTAGCAGCGTTGATATTCAGATTTGATTTCAGGCTCTGAAAGAGGCGCAACAGCTTACTGCAGAAAATGCAAAACTCCAATACCGTATTATACATCTCGTACGAGCCTTAAAGCAAGCTGATTGCAAGATAGCATCAAACCAAGGTCGCTCACAGCTCCCGAGTGCTTAGGGAGGAGTAAATTGTCAATTGTAAATTTCAGATAATAATTGAAAAATGCTATAAGCAATTCATTGCATCTTGCATTCTTCCTTTTGTTGATTATCCCTATTAATCATAACTTGCATGTTTTCTTCTCCGTTCGTGTTGATTATTTCTGGTTATTGCAATCCTACTTGTTCTCACACCAGATTTTAAATGACTGTCTGATTCTGTAATATTAGGAATTCTCGAATCTGAATAAATCTCACAACACGAAGTTTTTCGAATGCCACCACATTTACTTCTCCATAGTCCATCCACATTCATCAAGTTTTCTAAACTAGATTATAGACTATATATCAAGTTATCAACATGTAATATGGCACTTATAATTTGGTTACCTTTTTTATGCAGGTTGCCGGTGAATCTTCTACCATTTTCAAGTTGCCCCAAGCTATAGTCTATATAGATGGTAAGTTACGCCCTATTCTATGTAAATTTTTCTATTGGTCACCTGAGGGTGAGCACTGGGTAAATCCTGCCTTGTGACACTAGCCGGCAAAGGACTATAAAGAGGTAAACCAAATTAGGTTGCCCATAGTTGAACGGCTAAAACCAAGAAGACCAATAGGCTGCTCTTGCTGGAAGTCGAACTTGTAACGTTGTAGTTACTAAAATTTTTCTATTGGTCACCTGAGGGTGAGCACTGGGTAAATCCTGCCTTGTGACACTAGCCGGCAAAGGGCTACAAAGAGGTAAACCAGATTAGGTTGCCCATAGTTGAACGGCTAAAACCAAGAAGACCAATAGGTTGCTCTTACTGGAAGTCGAATTTGTAACATTATAGTTACTAAGTCGACCGCGTGACTAACTTTGTTGGATTGCCTCCAATAATAGAAGGTTTGTTTTCAGTGTCAGATGTTCTCATACTCAACTTGTTCTGCTGTTATGGACCAGGAGGGCCAGTGAAGGATACATCTACCTGGCATATTGGTACTGTTTTGTCCCCTTTGGTTCTTGAAGACACTACACAGTTGACAGTCCTATCAAAATGATGAACACAATCATGTGGACTTCTTAGAAGCAAAGCTTCAAATTATTGGGATTTCTTATGATTCTGGGAGGGAACATTTTCTTGAATCTCAAGTTTGAAATTATTAAAAGAAGAGAAAGTGCTAGTTTGCATTAAAAGCTTTTGCATTTATTGATGCACGTGAAAACGGTTTATATTTATCCATTACCCTAACTTTATGTATGTATACAACTTACTATTGCCATTACTTCTGATATGTTACAACTCAGTTATTTTGGTTATTAATTGAAAATCAACCCCGAGGCTTCCCATATAGGGGCCATATACTGGTATGCACACCCCAAGGCCCCTCAATAGGGCCAAATACTAGTATGTATAAGGGATCTATCCATTTTAGACATAATCTCTGCACTGTTACTGTAGAGGTTCAAACCTTAGTTTTTTCTTTCAAATACTGGTTACTGAACTAGTGAGCTAAGTTTGCGCGGGCTTATTCAATGCTATTAGTACAGTTATACATAAGTATTCAATACTATTATTATAGTTATATACAGGGATCCCAAACTCAGATGCCTAGGCACTAGGCAGCACAAAGCCTTGCCGTTTTGGCCTAAAGGCGGCCAAAACTCGGCCGGCCGAGTAGGCGGCGGCCAAACTCAGCCAACTCGGTCGATTTTGTCCAATTTTGACGATTTCGTCTGATTTTGACCGATTTCGTTCGATGTCGTATTTCATTAATTATTGATTTTAACATTATTATGACGTTATGACTTATAAATTATCATTATTTTATTTATTTGGATGTGTTGTTTGATTGAATTTTAAAAATAACCTCATTAAAATTGTCAAACTACAAGTCTGTTACTATTTTTTTAAATTTTTTTTGGTGCCCCGCCTAGGCGCTGTCTGGCTGCCCGACTAACGCCTAGCGCCTACAGCAGCCATGGTTATATACTTACATGTAACACATGCATATGAATATATGATATTAATGGTACTTGATACCATAAAAAATCTTTAAAATTACATGTATATTTTAATGAAAAATGATGATAATTTCTATAAATAAACATGCCCATAAAATTGAATTAATATAAAGAAAATTGAAAAGAAACAGGAACACCATTTGTATTTGTGTGCGACGAGGATTCCTTGAGGAGCTTCCACCACCTCACCCCCCCCTCCCCCCACCCACGCCAAACACCCTACCCCCCCACCCACGCCCCCTTTCCCGCATTTCATTTCATTTGATGAGATCTTCCTTTTCTCTTCTTCATATCCACATTGTCACCGGAAGATCAAGAATCGGCACCGTGAACCCACCACCACCATGGTCTTCTCAATATCGTCGCCGTCCAAAAAGCAAGCCCTCTTCATCTGCACCCTGATCCTTCTATGGTACTCCTCCAACATCGGCGTCCTTCTGCTCAACAAGTTCCTCCTCTCCAACTATGGCTTCGCCTTCCCCGTCTTCCTCACCATGTGCCACATGACCGCCTGCGCCGTCCTCAGCTACATCTCCATTGTGTTCCTCAAGCTGGTGCCTTTCCAGCGGATCAAGTCCGGGTCCCAGCTCCTCCGCATCTCCACCCTCAGCGTCGTCTTCTGCGCCTCCGTCGTCGGCGGGAACATCTCCCTCCGCTTTCTCCCCGTCTCCTTCAACCAGGCTGTCGGCGCCACCACCCCCTTCTTCACCGCATTGTTCGCCTTCCTCATGACCAGCAAGCGGGAGGCTTGGGTTACCTATGCCGCCCTCGTCCCCGTCGTCGGCGGCGTTGTCGTTGCCAGTGGGGTTCGTATTTTCTTCATTTTCCATATCAAGCTTTTCAATTTTTTATTTAATTCATCTGCTCCTTCATTTGGGCTGCTCTTTTTCTCATTAAAAATTGAATCTTTTTTGGCAAATCAATGCTGATCTATGATCTATCCTTATTTGAACATTTCAATTTTTTCCCTTTTCTGAATCTAAACACTGCTAGATCTGGAACTTTGAGAAGGCTGGATTTCTGATAATCTGGTCTGATCTGTACATTGGTTTAGTCACACATGTCACAATTTCTTTTGATGACAAGGGAGTGTGCACCACCCTAGCCGGGAATGTACCAGAAGGGTAAACCAGCTTAGATTGCCCATAGTTATCCCGGTTCAAACCAAGAAGCCTAATAGGAACATTGTGGTTACCAAGCCAAATGCCCGTCCAACTTGGTTGGAGTTGCCCCCAGAATTTTTTTAATATCATTCTTGGATGCTTATATTTGGAATGGGGTGTGAGTAGGTAAACACAAATTGCCTTTATTAATTATTACAAAAGCCGGCTTCTATGTTTAGATGTGGAGAATCCTAGGTTAGAACTTTAAGATTATAGTTAAAGTTTTGGATTGTTGTAATTGTTGGCATATGCCTAATGCTGAGAGGAAGTAAAGACAGAATTTTGGCCAATTGGCAGACTTAGAATGGTAAATCCATACAGCCGAGCTCAACTAGATCGGGGTAAAGGCTTAGTTATCTCCTGCACTAAAGATGATCCTTTGAACTGATGGCAGGGTGAACCGAGCTTCCACTGGTATGGATTTATCATGTGTGTAAGTGCAACTGCTGCAAGAGCTTTCAAGTCTGTTCTTCAGGGCGTTCTCCTATCTTCAGAAGGGTAAATACGCTATAACTGTGTATATATCAGCTTTAATCCTTGCATATACAAAATTTGCATTCACTCGATTAGGAATTAATGTATCTCGAACATTCTCTCATTTCAGGGAAAAGCTCAACTCCATGAATCTGCTTCTTTATATGTCACCAATCGCTGTTCTGGTTCTACTGCCGGCAACACTTATACTGGAGCCCAACGTTGTTGATGTCACTCTAAACCTTGCAACAAAACATAGATATATGTGGCTGCTTCTTTTGGTTAATTCCTCGTTGGCCTATGGAGCCAACTTGTTAAACTTTTTGGTGACTAAGAATACAAGCGCCTTGACTCTCCAGGTTTGTTTCTCCGGTTGCTTTTCCCTCTCTTCTCCACGAAATTATACTGTTAGCCATATTTTGTTTTGAAAACCGAAATACTTACTCCTATTAACACTATCAGTCCCGAGATTTGCTTTTTTCAGTTTTTGGTTATTCTATAAAATGGATCCGTTTCTACTTTCTTAACACTACTCGTGGTGAAACGCTAGGCACTTCTCCTTTAACCTGTTTAGAAGCAGAACGGGGTAAAAACTGCTGCCAATTTCCTTCAATTCTCATGGTTATTCTTTTCGTTGTATAGTTATTGCTATATATATATATATATATATAAAGGACTGTGCAGACAGATAATGGGCACATGACAAATTAGTATCATGCACACAATTTAATACACAATTGCACACTAGCATACATGTAAACATCAGGTTTTGAACCTAGGCTCTATTAATTAACAAATCTATGCACACGGAAATTATGGCACACGACTACATCCGGCCATGCACACGACATACAGACTAATGGCACATGACTACATGTGTCCTCACAGTCCTCTATAATATAGTTGTCGTCATTTGAATACACTTCTATATATATATAAGAGCATTCAGTAATCAGTATACGACAACTTTCTCTGCACCCGAGAAAAATCGAATTAAACCATTTCATTGTCTGAAAACGACTTTTGCCTAACTTGGTCTGTTTATTTCATCCTGGGAGCCGGGGAAATCAGTTTTTAACTATGATTGCGTGAAGCTGAGCCCCTTAACTGATTAGTTAGGCATTATGCTATCCAAGTTTAGAAGAAAGACGGTTAAATGTGATGGGATCAATTTTAGCCCAAAATTGCGGGTACATTGTATTATTCACATGAATTGTCACCATCTTTCTTTGTCATGAATATAATGCAGGTATTAGGCAATGCAAAGGGTGCTGTAGCTGTTGTTATCTCAATACTTCTTTTCCGCAATCCCGTTACTTTTATAGGAATTGCTGGGTATACAATGACAGTTATGGGGGTTGTTGCATATGGAGAAGCGAAGAGGAGGTACAAATAACATGCCACGCGACACGACTCGACTGTTTCTTCTTCATGATGCCCCGTGTTTTTAGCGACATTAAAGCATTGTGTTATGGAGGATTTAGGATAAAGTTCAATTTTGATGTTGGCTTCTAAGTTATGTTACAGCACATACATAGAGATTTAGTGAAAGAGGGAGGGGAGGGGGTGAGGGAGGAGGGAACAGTTTTCATTGTAGTGTGTTGTATTCTTTTGCTGTACTTATATCAAGTATATGCAGATGTACTCAATTCTGATGTCTATTTGTAATATAATATACTACCTCCGTCCCATTTTATGTGTCTGGTTCGGTTAACGAGGCTTGACTTTAGTAATTTTTAATTCAATTTTTCATAATGTTAAGTCTAGTATTGGTATGTCGGAAACACAAGCTTTCTAACAAAGAAGAGAAGGGATATACTGGTAATAATTTTAATAGTTGTGGATTAAAATTGATACTAAAACAATAGTCGTGGATGAAAATTGATAGATATTAAACATGTGGACCAAAATCGTCATTTGTTAATACTCGTGGGACCAAAATTGGTATTTGCTCAATTATTTTTGTACGGAGTCCACCATAAAATGTAAAACACATTCATAAAGTGAGCCTTTTGACAAAATTCTCAAGTGATGGGCCATTAAACAACACAAGTTAGGCATCACTATTATGCCTATGAATAGTGCAAAGGACAAAACAAAAATCTACAAAATCTTTTGAGCCAAAAATGGTACAAACAGTTAAGGCCTGAATGGCTACCAAACAGGACTAAAATTCACCCAATCGGTATGTTTCATTCGTCATGTGCTGCCATAGCCTGCAATCTGTGCAGCCAGTTGACGTATTGACCTTGCTCCTTCTTGTGTAGGTGTAGAATGAGAAAGCTAATTAAGTTTTCCTCGATTCCCCGAGCTTGTAGGTACCGGAGGAACTCAGTTTGCAGTGTAGGGTCCAAAGAACTGGGAAAAGAATAATCCCGAGGGAAATTAAGGCAGTTAGTATGACCTTGAACCAGAGAAAAAATGCAGGAAAGTCATTCCATCAAAATGTAAGTAGAATTCTCTTTCAATGAAGCATTCTAACAGGGCTTTTTTTTTTTAATGCTACTGACTCTATTACATTGTAGTATCTGTTCAAACATACTTTCTCAACCTATTGAAACACAAAGAGTCAACAACGCCTCCACTGAGATTCGATCTCATGACCTCCTATATGGGAGAGGTCACTACAAGCCATCTGAGCACAAGGTGCTTGGCTATCTTAATGCAAATGAACATTCAGCTCGCTATCATAATGCGTGCAAAAATATAATCCCCGAATGCAACTATCAATAAGATAAGGAAAACCCGAACTGAACAGCAACTGAAATGAAGAATACCATTTCAGTGGAAGAGCCTCTAGATACTTAACTATTATGGTTTAAAAATTAAAAGCTTTTTATCGTTGCACCTAAATACAAAGTTTGCAGATAAAGGACCTATTCATGTTCATGGAGATCCAAGAGTCTACTTTTCTACCTATCGGGAATACCATAGAGATTTAGCTGCGGTGGAAGCCTGTGGCAGTAGGGTATATATGGGGGCAATGAGAGAATAATGGTCATGGATGGTGCACTAAGAAATACAACCAAAAAAAGTTGCATAACAAATGGAAGGATGACACATTACTCTCTAATATCTTCCTACTAAATCGCAATAAGAAGGATGGTAATGATGTCTAAACCCTCATGAAATTCCTTCATTGCAAGATTTATAAATGTTATGATGACTATTATAGTCACAGATATCACCTTGGATGGCAATACTTACTAATCAAAAGAAACAATATTTTCGCCAAATTCTACAAAAATAAAGGTATATAACAAGCAGCTGGATGATCTAAGAAGAGGAAAGCACCTGAACGAAGGACCTTTATAAGCCGAAGAATCCAGGCCTGAAGTTGATGCGATGTAATATGCATTATCAATTTGAAAGTTTGGTACCCTGTAATCACCGAACCCTCTACAATCAAACTGCAGGATGGAACTCAAGCCAGGCTTTTTTACGCACACTTTAACCAAAGCTTCTCTGGGTAACCTATCTTCTGTACCAGCATCAGCGCCTAAGATAGCTGAAACAGCAACTTCCTCACCCGACTCAAATCTCCTCCTCAGAAGCACATCTTGAGAATTTCGTGAATCCCATTCAATTGAGAAATCTCCCAAGCTACCACATTCCTCATTCTGTTATCAAATAAAAACTAATTGCCATTACTGTTTGTCAATGACTCAAAGTTAATTCATTATCCTCAACAAAATATAAACTATCAACAAAGTAAATAAGGCCATTGCATCAATTTGACCAGCAAATCAAATTGAAAACTTGTCCTCAAAGCAATGTGTTTATAATTTTTTTCTAGGGAAAGTTTTTGTACTCTTCTTGTGATAGTTTGACATGCAAATCAAGGTCAAATCTCATCCTAAAAGGGCAAGAATACACAACTTTTCAAGTTAAGAACCTTTGTTTGCCGGGGCAATCCCAACCAAGTTGATCAGACTATTGACTTCGTAACCACATTACAAGTTCGACTCTATGACCTATTCACCTTCTTAGTTTGAACCGGTTAACTATTAACAAACTATGCTAATTTATCCAACTGGGTTTTACCGGTACCCCCCTCAGATAGTAGCTGCGGATTTTCAAGTCAACCAAACCTTTGTGACTACACCCAAGAAGTAAATCACATCCCCATAATGGGGTGAAGCCTCGAGTATGGATGTAGACTACAAACCAATCAAAAAAAGGTTGAAGAACATACAACGATTCTCGATCAAATTTACGAGTTTCAGGAATTGGAAATCATAGAAATGTCCATTTTACTCTCACTTGTTCATCTGTAGATGCAAACATATTTATGTACAGATATAGGTATAGAAGTAATGAGAAAGATGGGGTGGCGGGGTATTAACCTGGAAGGGTGCTGGGTTGGAGAGCTCGTGGTTGATTTCCGATTGCAAAGCTTTGAGCAAATCAAAGTCTTGAATGGCCTTTCGAGCTCTGCGCAGCACAGTCGTCACTCTTGTCATTTCGCCGTTTCGGTATTCCTAAATCGGTAAAATGGGTTTGGTCGTTTAGACAACTCACGTCGCCGACTCGCTGGTATCTTTTTTTATTCTTTATTTTTTTTTTTGGCATTTTTAGTCTTTTGGTTATAATCAAAAAGAGTTAATTTCACTTTGATTTTATGACTATTTGATTCTATAATTATTGAAGTTTTGTTAATTTTAATGACTTTTCAAATTATTAATTTTGTTCTTTAATTATTTAATTTTGGCCATTTTAGTTAAATTATCGTCAAAATTCATCGAAAAATATTAATAGGTAAAATAAAGAGGATATTTTAGTATTTTTACTCTCATTTCCTTTATTCTTTAAAATACCATTATTATTTTACCTATTAATATTTTTTTGGTGAGTTTTGATCGACAAATTAATCGAAGCGATCAAAATTAATAAAAATTAACAGTTTTAAAAGTCGTGGATTGAAATTAATAATACCCAATAGTCTTAAGACCATAAGTGAGATTAACTATAATCAAAATATACGCTTAGTTGTTTATTTAGTTAGTTCTTGTGGCGTGTTTGACAGTCGTAGCTGTTCGGGTGTCCTCGCCTGACGAACAACCACAACTGTCTGTGAAACATGCAACCACCATTTGAAATTCTTTTTTCTTTTTTAATTATTTTTTTTTATTTTTTAATAATTGAATAAACAACCGGTTAGCAACCTGCAAAAAAAAAAATCGAACAAATTTGTAAAAATTGAGCACTTCGCATAATAGATAGAGCCTATTTGACATTTTTTTTTTTTTTAAACAAATTTTAAACTTGACACGTAAAGAGATTCACCATATCTCCGTGTTGCCCACTCACACAGAACCGAAAACGCGAACTTTACCGCTCAAAATTAGGGCTAATTTTTAAGCTATCAACCTCAGGCAACGAGCGAGCTCTTTGAACTTAGCATCAGCAAAGCTCAGCTGCGCAAACAATGGCGAACGACACAGACATGAGTGGCTGGAGTGGACTTCTACACTCTTCCTCTAAGCTTCTCGAACAAACCGCCCCTTCTGCTCAGTTCCCTCCTCTTCAGGTTCCAAGCCTCCATACATTTCTCAAATTCTGCTTAAATACTTTGTTAATTACCTTTTCTTTAAGAAACTTTTCGATAGACATCTGGTGAACTTTTAAGCTGATAAGTACTGTAGTTCATTTTCCCATTTCTTTGGCGAAAATGTAGAGGAATTTGGATCAGCTGGAAGCGTTGTCGAAAAAGTTGAAGGCTAAAACCCTAAGAGCGGAAGCTCCTTCTCAATCAATTGCAGCCACAAGGTGTGTGTTCATATATACATATATTAATATTCCATTTTTGAAAAAAAAATCGTGGTTAGTGATAACTTAACTTTTCCATTATTTCGGTTTGTGTATGATGCTATGCTGTGATTATTTGATGTACTGTTTTATTAATTTATATTTCTTGTAGACAGACAGGTTGACTGCTTGCTAGTGTAAATTAAGAATGAAGGATATGCATGGTAAATTTTGTTTGATTATTCTTCTCATCTCGCAATTCCAGGTTACTGGCCCGTGAGGGAATCAATGCTGAGCAGCTTGCTAATGATCTCAAATCTTTTGAGTTGAAGGTATGCCCCCCCCTACAGTTTTGTATCTGTCTGGAGATTAGTGACATAACATAGTGGATTTTGAAGATATGGATGAGGAACTTGTATACCAGAACTTCTATTACTCATATATAGCTTTTGATACAATGTGAAAATGTATAGTAGGCCTCCATAGCTTTACTTGCGGAGCATTCCTATAATCCTATTCAAATTGTAGCAATAAGTAAACGTACCAAAAGTAAAAAAAAAAAAAAAAAAGAGGACAGAAAGGAGTGGTTGAGGCACAAAAGATGACTGTTGTTTTTTTCTCCTTGTCTACATGTTGTGAATAGCTTTCTGGTGGTTATACATTTATTTACTTTTAACTCTTCTAACAAGAAGTCAAGAACTTGCAGTTTCCCTGGTTTAATCATCTTCCCTCTTTCTATTGTTTCTACATTCTAGAATTTAATGTCAATCACCAATTCTGTATTGATAATTGGGTAATATTGGGTTCTGGTAATACTCTTCCCTATAATTATTCCTATATGTGTTTTAATTATTTGCTGTCCACTGACAACATAGTCTTATTGTTCTCCTTTTTAATCAGACAACATTTGAAGATGTTTTTCCTGCTGAGGCAACTACTGTTGAAGATTATCTGCAACAGGTAGTTTTATACTTTTTATTATGTAGACTTAATGATTCTAAATTATTTTCTGTGAGTGTTCATGTCCTTCTGTGACTGTACATAATAATTATATATTTATATGTGTGTAGTCACCAAATCATCACACTTCAAACAGCATCCTAGAAGCAGATGTAAGGTTGTATGCATCATTCTTCCTTAGACACTGCATGATGTATAGTACTTTTAGTGGTTGCTCTGGATATTGCACCTGGTCTGTGCTTTTTGGATTCCATGGATGGATTTTGTGGCTAAGGATAAGCTTTTGAGTTATAATGTCAACTATAATTAAATAGTTTAGATATAATGGTAGTTAACTCACATACTTGCATACACAAGTATATGCTTGTTTTGCCCACTATTTATCTAGTTCAAAAAGCATGAGCTGTGCCAAAGACCAAAATAGGACAAGTCTTTTAAAGTTGGATATGAGGCAAAATTGCTCTTTGTCAAGAAGCTCCAAATTTTAGGCTTTTCAAAAAAGCCTCTTTTTCAAGAGCTGCAAACAAGCACAAGTGCACAACATAGATTTTGTTTTCAACTTTTGATGTTTGTACAATACAATTTTCACATGCTTTAATTTATGTTCTCCATTTCCATCATTATATTTCCTAGCTTAAAAGTGTTAAATGATTGTTTAATTTTTAGTATTAATATTGATATTTTAGATCCATGAAATGGCAATGGTCTCTGCTGTACAAGAAGCTCAGAAGGATAACCTTAAAAATTTCAATGACTACATGATGACAGTCTTGGAGGTTAGTGAGCTTGAAAGAATCCATTCATGATGGATTTCCATATCGGAGTTCTTTCTTTTGCTTTATTTTTTTGTTTGGTCAATAGCAATTACTCATTTAATTGAAGTTGTGTTTCCATATCATGCTGTGTTGTTAACTTTGAAGCTTTCTGGGACACACTTGTAGGAGGATTGGCAGAAGGAAAAAAGAAGCTTCCTTCAGAGTCTGAGTCGGATTTCAACATTGCCTAGAGCAAATATCAGTGAATCAAGTCCTGGGAGTGCTCGCCAGCGTCCAATAGCATCTTTGACTTACAGTCCTCAGGTGTCTTCTGGACCGTCTAGCATGGAGCTAGTACCTTTAGCTGATAAGTCCATTCTTGAGAAAAAAGCTGATGCCTATAGGGAAGTTGTCAAGAACCTCAACACTGCAAGAGAGCGTGGGCTACCCTTTAAAGTACAGTTTTTATTTTATTTTTTACTATGGAATTTCTCATGTATTGTGTTTTGTTATTTTGACAGTGTTTCTCTGTTTTCTTCATTGAATGAAGGTTCTAACTCTTATGAAACTAGGTTAACTAGTATTATAAATTTATAATCCTTTGAAATCATCAAATATAGATGCCATTCAAGTCCACAAGTGTCATTATTTCCCAAAGCAGTGTTTACCATTAGACTGTCTCTTTGATTTCTGATTTCCTTCTGTTCTTTTAAGACTTCATATTTTGATTCTGCTAGCTAGACATCGATGATTGTTGACTTGATTCCTTCAAAAGTGATTCAATAACATTATTGTTTTCTTTTATTGTAGCCTGCTACAGCTTTTAAACATGCATATGAAGGTTTGGCTCTTGATACATCTGGTGGGAAGTCTGTAAGCATGCAGAAGATATGGCATCTTGTTCTGGTATGCCAACCTGGATAAAAAATCTATTCATGTAATTCTTAGATGTTAAAATTCCTTTCATTTGTCTTGGTTGTTTTGTTATACTTAGTTTGTAGACAGTTCTTGTAGAGGATGGGAGAAACACATGTTTCACAATTCTCAGTAATGTAAATGTTGTACAGGCATTGATGGGCGAAGATGCAACTAAACATAATGTTTCAAGAAAAATTTCCTTAGTGATGGGAGCCAGACACCACCTTGAATTGGGACATGAAAAATTTTTGGTGGATACAATTCAAAGCCACCCTGCACAGGTAATTAATCATGGTCTTGTAGTGTTGTATGTTCTTTGTTAGTAGCTTTTTTCTACCCCCAGAATGTCATTGCTCTTAGATTATTGTTTATTTTTCCATTTTTTTAACCTTTTGACTTGTAGACCACATTATGTTAATTGGAACATTTCTACTTCATCATGCCTTTTAAGTGATTCAGATCATATCATATATGGATAAATAATGATTTTTTCTGCATTGGTTGTAGGCTGCTCTTGGTGGAGCTGTTGGTAATTTGCAGCGAATTCATGCCTTTCTCAGGGTTTGTTAGCATCTTTTCATTAAATCATTAACAAATCCAAGTTGGATCTAGGAGGCATGTAGCATCATTTGAAAAAATAAATCATCTATATCTATTTGGCTGAGACACTGAGTTTTATGTGCTATGCAGATCCGTTTAAGAGATTATGGGGTTCTCGATTTTGATGCAACTGATGCTTTTAGGCAGCCTCCTGTTGATACCACCTGGCAGCAGGTTAGGAACACAGTCATAAATTTGGCATGCCCATGAACTAGAACAACTGAGCAAGTTCAAACTTGTATAATACTTTAGTTTGATCAATTCCCCCCACCCCCGTCTTCTAATAATTCCCTTTCCCCTCTCCCTTCTAATGCTTTCCTTGGCAATGAAAATTGGTACATTGTACATACATGGGAAGCTTGTATTCCAAAATTATGTTATTCTTACCTCCAATTTTGTATGATCAAGGTATTGCTCAATGTAACTTATTTATATGCTATTTTGAAATAGATATATTTTTGCTTGAGGACTGGATATTATGATGAAGCGAGAGAGGTTGCTCTACAATCTCGTGCATCACAGCAATTTGCTCCTTTGGTATGTGCTTTTGATTTTGTACATTTCTCCCTCTCTCCCTCTCTCTCTTTCTAATTTATAATTATCTGTGTTACAGCTGAGAGAGTGGATTGCAAATGGAGGTCTGGTATCAGCAGAGACTGCGGCTGCTGCTTCAGAAGAATGTGAAAAAATATTAAGATTGGGTGATCGAATAGGTCGGGCTTCATATGATAAGAAAAAATTGCTGCTATATGCAATAGTGTCTGGTTCACGTAGGCAGGTAGACCGGCTGCTTAGAGAACTGCCTACACTTTTCAACACTATAGAGGATTTCTTGTGGTTCACTTTATCTGTTGTACGTGAGAGTCCTGGCAGATCCGATGTCCTGAATGAGGGGTTGTCACCTTATAGTTTGGAAGATTTGCAAGCTTATTTAAATAAGTTTGAGCCTTCACATTATACTAAGAATGGAAAGGATCCTCTCGTTTACCCGTATGTTTTGCTTCTTAGTATCCAACTGCTTCCAGCAGTCCTGTATTTATCCAAAGATATGGGAGATGAAGGATACAATGTGGATGCTGTCCATATTTCTGTTGTGTTGGCAGATTATGGGGTCCTTTCTGAAGCAGGGCAAAAGGTTGGGATTATGGATGCTTTTGCTGAAGCCTCTAGCATAATTAGGCAATATGGATCTTTATATCTGCGCCATGGTGACCTGGCAACGGCATTGGAATATTATGTGCAAGCTGCTGCAGCAGTTGGTGGTGGGCAGCTGTCATGGACTGGAAGAGCAAATGTGGATCAGCAAAGGCAGAGAAATGTGATGTTGAAGCAACTCCTCATAGAACTTTTACTGCGTGATGGTGGTATCTACCTTCTACTTGGGTCAAGAGGTGACGGTGATGAAGGTCAGCTTGGAATATTTTTCACAGATGGAAAGACTAGACAATCCTTTCTACTTGAAGCTGCTCGTCAGTGTCAGGTTGCTGGACTTTTTGACAAAGTAATAGTTTTTCCTTGCTTCATTCATCATTTCAATTGGTTTAATTTATACATGTCTAATATTCAAAATCTATGATTGAAGTTTGATCTCATGAGATTTAATAAATTCTTTGCCTTAGGGTAGTGATCATGCTTAATATAATGCTGTAGTCTTCTGTTTGTTCTACATTTCTCTTCTTGGTAGTTGCTGTTTGTTATTCTTTACCTGTGCAATGGCTATTGTCGTATTTTAGGGTGGGAATAGTGCCCCTTTTCATGTACTAGCATTTTGACTGCTAGCTTGTAATCACTTCTCAGTATGGAGGAGCCTTTGTTCCCATGTTTGTCTCTAATGCTGGTAGCCCATATAAGTTGCATCAGAAGGTCTGCTTGAAGATTTTAAGCATGTTTTTTTTTTTTTTTTCCAAAGAGGTGTATTCTCAAGAATCATTAAGTTTCTCTTCATCTCACCCAGGGATGAAGTGGAGACTTTTTTTATTTTAGTTTCCTTTAAGGCATTATTGTCTAGGTTGAAGTGTTGAATGCTGATTGTACTTGAGGAGTTCTAGTTTTATAGATTTATTTGACATAAAATAATGAGCTTAGCATTATCTTTACTCAAGTCTTCAGCTCTGACTGGCAAATCATTATTCCCTCAGAATCCAATTAGGTTTAATAATTAGGGACTAAATCCAAACTTGTGGTATGTTCTTGAAAAAATAATTACAGTATCTTCCATTTTTTTTAATAATTTTAATTTTTATACGGAGTATTTTGTATGAACTATACCTTTTAACTTATGGCATGCACTAATTTAGGAAATCCATGTTGCATTCTCCATTTGAACTTCTTTTGGCTTATATAGAAATGAAAGCAGTAGATTTTTAACCCATGTTTGATACCCAATGACAGGATTATTATTCTTGCCAGTCCATGACCAATTTAGAAAATCTATGTAGCATTCTCTGTTCGATACCCAATGTTCATGGCTAAAGTCTCAGCTGCTTTCTTGCTCTTCTATAGTCAGTAAATATCTAGCTATTCTTGGACTTTAACCCACATGTCTCTCTTGGTTTCTGGTACATATATGCATTTGATTTATTAGTGTTTTCTTGCTCTAATAATCTTGTCATTGTTTTCTTTGCTGTTTTTAGTGTATAGAGATTCAGAAGAGAGTGGGTGCATTTTCAGCAGCATTAGATACAACAAATAAGTGCTTATCTGATGCAATATGTGCCCTATCACGTGGAAGGTTGGATGGGGAGAGCCAGGTTTCTGCACTCATTCATTCTGGAAATGAGATTTTGGAGACATTCAAGTATTATCCTGATATCAGGTAATATGGAGATTTGGTGTGATTGAATGTTTTATACAGAAGATCTGTCACAAATTCATAATGTTAGACTTGACATTGAGCCATTTCATTTTGGTCATGATCTATAGAGGTTAATTTCATATTTTATAACCTGGGGGGTGTGGTTGAGTGGAAGGGACTCATCCATCCTTAACCAAAGGTCAATGGTTCGATCCTTGGCTTTGGGTATGGAGCAGCCTTAAATTTCCAGGCCAGCTGTTCCACCCAAAAGAGGTGCCTACAATCATGGGATTAGTCACTGTGTCCGACAGTGGAAACCCTGGGTACACCCAATTTTTTTTTTTTTCTTCATATTTTATGTACTAAAGCTATCCCATATCATTGTGTTTGTTATTTCAGTCCTCAAGAGAGAGAAAAGGTTTTGGAACAGCAAACTGTGTTGAGACAGCTTGAGGCAGTCCTGTCCATTCATAACTTAGCAAGAATTGGAAACCATTTGGATGCTTTGAAGGAAGTAGCAAAACTACCATTTCTTCCTTTGGATCCAAGGACACCGGGTTTTGCCACTGATGTCTTCCAAAATTTGTCTCCCCATGTCCAAGCATGTGTTCCAGACCTTCTGAAGGTTGCTCTTCACTGTCTAGACAATGTTAGAGATACAGATGGATCATTGCGAGCTTTAAGGGAAAAGGTACACATATTTCAATCAACACATTACATGCATTGCAATTACCGTATTTGTTCCTTGTTGAGCTGCAGAAATGTTGTTGAGCTTTCTGTACTTTTTGTTAGAAGTTGTATTTATTTGGCTGGAAACTTTTCCATCCTATTTTTTACTATCCGACGTTAATCGCATAGAAGGAGCTCCCTAATAACAGAACTAGGTGTTCAAAGTAGGTCCGGTCCGGTCCATTCATATATCCGTCTTTTGATTTCTGTTCTCTCGTATCATCACAATGATTTATTCAATTTCACTATATATAAATCAATGTCTTTTATTGGAAAATGATACACTTAATTTGTTATTTTGCAGATAGCGAACTTTCTTGCCAACAACTTGGGTAGGAACTGGCCTCGTGATCTATATGAAAAGGTTGCTCAACGTATATGAAGTGCATTGCCTCGACCCGTTTTGTGCATTGCCACTGAGGTTTATTATATTATATATTAGTTTCGGCGTAGGTGCTAAAGTGTTGAATTTTCCCGTCGTCAGTCAATGTATTTGAATCGCTCTAAATATAATTTCTCTTGCATTGGCCATCAGTTCTGATAAGGTATATGCTGACTTTGTAATAGAAAACCCTCCATCCGCCCCCATTGACACCCCTACCGTACCAAACAAAACTCAAACTGGAGATTTGTATCTGGTGATGCCCGAGGCGTATTGAGATCTCTGGTCAACGGAATCTGTAATTGTAATCTGTTGTTTTCATCCTCATTTGATTAATTCTTAGTCTTCAAATTCCACATATACTGAAGCAAACAATGCCAATGTGTTTGATAATATGCATTGTTGCAAGTTCAACAGAAATCTCCAGGTGAAAAAAATCCTAATTGAATGCCTTGAAAGGGATGACCAAGTGGATGGAGAATGATTGTCATACTTGAATATCACGAGTTTGATTCTTGCTAACCTGGTTCGAGGGTTATTACATACAGTTTACATTTTCTATATAATTTACTGTATAGTTTATGGATTATTACATAGGAGTGAGATCGAAAGGTGATAGATCCAGTTTGAACTGATTAATACAAAGTCATAACATAATTTGAACTTTTATTGCTCAACACACACAAACACACACTGGAAATATAATACTACTGCACAAGGGCATGGATTCCAATCCAAACTCATACAGAGTTCTTGATGGCTGCACTATATCCAGTTTGAACATCATAGTACCTAGACCAGAGCATTACACCTCCATATTTGCTAGAACTCTTAATCGCAGGAAGCACTCTAGACTTGAGGTCATCCGCAGGAATGAAACCGCTTCCGGCTGCCGCAGGCGCTGCAGGCAACCCTAGGAATATCTTCCCTGCTGGGATGGAATTCCACTGGTTCCAGGCCTTCACAAGGTTGTTAATATTACCAGGCGTGTATTGGCAAGGGGCGTTGTTATAGAATTGGACCCAAACGTAGTCAAAAAGGCCCGTAGCGAGCGCATTTCCTATCCAGGCGTCCGGGAAAGGGCATTGCGGGGCAGCAGTTAAGTACACCTTTTTTCCGCCATTGCTGTACGCAGAGAGATACCTCGCAAGCTCATCCCAGTGCTGCGTGGTTCCTCCTTCAATATCGAAGTCGATTCCATCCAGAACCGCGTCGCCGAGAGGACGAGCACTCGACTGGCCGCCTAAGAAGTTGTTCCACAGGTACGTCGCAACTTGTCTAGCATCCTCCGCAGATTTAAGAAAATAGCTCCCAGCTCCCCCTCCAATGGAGAGAATCACCTTAATTCCTCTGGCTTGACAGGATCTGATATCGGCGCTTAGGTTTCTGCAGCCATTGCTGAACGGATCACAATGTCCGGCAAGGTTGATTACCGGCGCCTGACCGTTTCCAAATGTCGGCAGAAAGGCTAGGTTTACAAAACCGTAATTCCCTGAGGCGCAAGTAGCTTGTAATGTTCCTTCGTTTCCATTCTGGCCCCAATATATCGCCATTTTTCCGGCCTCAGTGTTGATGGCAAGTACCAGAAGAACAAAGGAAAACAGTACAGATTTGGAAGCCATGGCAGGTGAATAGGTATGGAACTTGAGTTGAAAGTTTGAAAGAGCATCTGAGGGTTTATATAGGATTACCCAGGGCCTCTGTTCTAGTTTACTATACTACATGAGTACATGAGTGCAATTATGCAGTTCCTTGCTCTGGTAAACTGCGTAGCTTAACAGTTGATTTATTGTGAGTTTTCACATTGCTTTTACTCACCTTTTGTTTTGTTTGCTTGTTTTACATTGCTTTTATATTGCCTTTATTTGCATTGATTTACTTTTGAATTGTTTGCTTGCTTTATATTTCCTTTCCTCAAAGCATCTACATCAGCGAAGATTTTGGGATTCATGTCTGATCAAATATGTTGGGTGGGAGCTTTCTAGATGTGGAGGAGATTTAATATTCAAAATATTACTTCTGCAAGGTTCAAAATAATGTCAGAAACACAATTTATATATTCTAGAAGTTCATAATTTTAACATTAAAAATACACAATTTATACATCGTTTAAAATCAAAATTTACCATGCAAAGTGACCTTGTGGTATAACAACTCAGAACATAGTGCACTAGTGCCATTCATTCTGCCAATAGCCCATTCCAAATATCCAAAAGCCCAATACAATTATACAAAACACAAAACACAAATCTGATCCCTTCCCTGCGGAGTGTTATGCCATGGAACCGTGTTCACCATGAATGGTGAACACGGTTCCAACGGTGTTAGTACACTGTTATTATTATTTTTTTCTTTTCTTAATTAATTGAGTGATTTTTCTTCTTCATTTTCACATTTTGCAATTTCACTTTAATTTGAGGTGAACAATGATTTCGGACATTCATAAATTATGAATTCATGCCTGCACATTCACTTTGGAACCATGCCTACACATTCCTATCCGAAATCACGAACATTTATAAATTATGAATCCATGCCTGCACATTCACTTTGGAACCATGCCTACACATTCACTTTGGAACCATGAGATTATGAATTTTCTGTTATAAGATTATGAATTTTCTGTTATAAGATTATGAATTTTCTGTTATGAGATTATGAATTTTATGAAAATTCATAATCTCATAACAGAAAATTCATAATTTGATCAACTCGCGCCGTTAACTCCACATCCGCGAATTTTATTTTTTATTTTTTGCCTAAAAACGACGTCGTTTGACCTTGTGTTCACCATTCTTGGTGAACACGTTTCCAGGGCATAATTTGCCCTTCCCTGCTTCTGCTTCTCGCCAATCGTTATGCTGTGCATCCATATGCACCATGCAAGGTGCATACGGATGCCAAAACGACGTCGTTTTATTAAAAAACGTGCGTCTTCCCTTTAAAAAAAATTCAGGTTTGATTCCCAGCAACAACATTATATTGTTCATTCATTCTGGAATTTTAGTTCATAGATTATGGAATTATAGTTCATCGATTATGGAATTGTAGTTCATCGATTCTGAAATTTTAGTTTATAGATTATGGAATTTTAGTTCATTCATTCTAGAATTTTTAGCCCATAGATTAGATTATGAAATTATAGTTCATCGATTATGGAATTTTAGTTCATATGTTGTTGCTGGGAATCGAACCTGATTTTTTTTTTAAAGGGGAGACGCGCGTTTTATTAAAACGACGTCGTTTTTGCATCCGTATGTACCATGCATGGTGCATACGGATGCACAGCATAATTTGCCAAGCCTCGAGTCCTTGACCAGTTGACCAAGGTCAAAAATGCCATTCGGTCTTTTGGTCAAAATTACAACCCCAAACGGCGTCGTTTTATGATGTGTATATATAATTTTTAAAACTTCTGCCTTCTACGGTTCGACGCCTCTCCCTCCTTCACTCAGCAATTTCCAAACTTTAGCATTCATCACTTCACGCCTTCGGCGGCCGTGCGCCTTCACTCCGGTGATCTCCCCAGCGCTGCGCCTTCAGGCCTCTCAGTTCGGCGGTTCGCACTCCTTGCAGGCCGCAGCGACAGCAGCAGGTCTCCTGTCTCCGTCGCGACTCGTCTGCAGCGGGCAGCTACTCTTTTTGACCGGCAGCGACGGCACCTTTGGTTCGAAAACTAACCCTGAAGTCTACTTAGATTTTCAAAAATTAATTTGTTTGATTTATTCATAATTGATTAATTTTTTAATTGTGATTGTGAATTGTAAATTTGTGTGCTGGTTTGCAATTGATTTATAATTTAGGTTAATGTTTCATGTTAAATTGATATAACTATGTTTTGTTTTTTTTTTTTTTTTTTGGTTCAATTATGGAAAAAATACTTTAAAAGAATATCTATTTTTTTGGATTGTTGTATTCAAATTAATTTAGAAGAACTTGAAGTTATTCTCTTCCCTATTCAACTGTAATCCAGGCTCTGCCATTGGTGCCAATTCCAGTTTATGGTTTTCCCTTTTGCTAGGTAATGGCCTTTTGAAATCCCTATTTCCTGATTTCTTTTTGTTTCAAACAGATAAAGAACTACTTTGAACTGAATGAGAAGTTTGGTAGTATCCATGCCAGTATTTTACTGCTCATCTTATGATCAAGTTTGCAGTAGCCCAGTAGCTATTTCTGTTATGTTAAACTGTATTTCTATAATTCTATCATTTATCATGTTGGAATCTAAAATTTTGAAGAGATTTAGATTTATGTTGTTTCTCATGTAGACTGTTGGTGAAATTGATACCAGCTATGGAAACCGACTGGGATAGCTTTTCTGATGGAATGACAGACAATGAGGATGGTGTGGAGGACGTAAATGAAGACGAAAATTTCTGTTCATATGCATCCGGTGATATACCCAAATTGCAGTTTAGGTCTAATCTTTATAAGTTCATTTTTATTTAAGGGGGGTGGGGAGAATTATAGGATATGTATGTTATTCTGTTCTCTTTTTGTTTTAAACACAACTCATATTTTTATTTTAAAATTTTGGTTTCTTTTTGGGCATTGATTTTCAGGAAAGACATATCAAAAGCCAAGTGGATTGATAAAATGGGAATGGCTGAGATTGTTGAGACGAAGGGTCGTCTCTGGACAACAACAGGGATGGTTCGCTATGGAAAACTCTATTGTTCAATTGAAGAGACTTTGTATGCTGCAAATTTTCTTTTTGTGACCTTTACTATTATTGATATCAAAGCTATATATTACAGTTAATGAATAATGTTTTGATTTTCCTATGTCGACGAACCACTAATGTTAAAGATTTTCATTTTCATTACTTGCTGTAGATATTTAGCTGAAATTGGGGCTTTGCATCTCCTTGATAACGATGATGCCACCATTTCTCTTAAAGACATATATAACATGGTTGCAGAAGCAAAGAATGGATGTTCTTGGGAAGCTTTTGAAGCTTACAGGCACTTGAAGTGCCTTGGATACATTGTACGACGCCATGGTATTCCTTGGACTGTGAAGAGATCTAAAATGAGCACTATTGCCGACCAAGACATAGCAGAGGTTGATTCAACAGAATCAGAAGATTGCCATCACATCTCTGAAATGTTCAGCAGTTTGAACATTGATGAACTTAAACCAGTATTTGATGTTTACCCTCCTAATGCCAAATTCAGAAAATCTTCCCCAGGTGACCCATGCTTTGTCTTGTGTTTCACTAGGTAATTTCCTTTCATCAAATAATCGATAGGATTTTCTGCGAAGACTGTTACTTAAAATAACTCGATGAAGAATTCACAATGTGAGGCATCTTCTGTTGCAGAGGCTCTCCACCATCCAAACAAGGGATTGAAGATGTAGAGAAACGCTGCCATGGCAGTCCTGTGAAATTATGCAACGTTGAACATGGACGCGTCAGTTTCTTCACATTCAACAGAGTAGAGCTTCCCATACTTCCCTGAACTAGTTGCCATGGCAACGGAATAGCTGTGGGAGAAAGAAAAGAAGCACAAATGCAAACGGTACTCCCACTCCTGAGTTTCTTGATATCGAAGCTCCTAGGAGGAATATAGCATTACTCTTTTATTGAATCCTTACTGGTAATTGAAAACTAAAGAATCATGGCTGAACTATAAGCAGTCTGTAGCTGCCGTTGATTGTATATCCGCCGCCGTGAGCACATAGCGTGGATGGCGTAATATATGAAGCAGCCGGAAAAGTAAAGGAACGCCACAGACGAAGAAACTTCATCTAGTTCTCCGGCGGTGGCTAATCTGATGAGTTCTTTTCAGAAAATTCTCTTCTTTTTGGATCACGCTACACGTTAGAATCGTTTTAAAAAAAAAGTTGTTTTAAAGAATGTTGCCGAAGTTCTTGGTTATTTGATTATTATTATTATTATTTTTTGGGAAGAGGGGAGGGGAAAACCTAGCTAAGATTAGTGCCTAACTCTCCTAGCACCTGTGTTAAGTGCCATCTTCACTTTGTCAATCTAAGGGGGCGATTGGTTTAGGGAATGTTAGATTGCTGAGAATGTGATTACTGTTTCTGTGTTTGGTTAAAAACTAAGATATGTAAATAAGACAACGGTAATAAGATAAATTGATTAAAATGTTCAAAGCCCAACATTAGTAATAAGACAAGAGAATGTGAGATTACCTAAGAAATTGGAGGGTATCTCATATTCCTTTTCAATAGCTAAAAACTTAATGCCGAGGTTATCGGACATTCCTTGGGAAAGTTATATAACCTGAACCAAACATGAGAATTTTATATTATCAAGCAAATATAACGGTTATCTTATATAACCTAAACCAAACGCCCTTTAAGTTATTCCATGATCTCTAATAGGTGATTCTCACAATTCTTGCGCGGTGCAACCTTAACAAGGTAGTCAGCCACTTTGTTCGATTAATGGCTCCTATTAAAGAAAGCAATAATATCAAATAAAACAAAATTTTAAGATGACCTTGATAGGGATTATTCACCGGACACTGTGCTTGTACAGTGATCGGTAAAGGACCCTTAGGGTTGGCTGAGCCTGACCCGACCACTAACGATCTAGAAGGTTTATCTTCTCGGTCTTCTGACCTGATTGAGCATATATGGCTAAGGGATAGGCCCATGGAGGGCTTTGTGCCCTCTGGCTTACCGACCTGCCTAGGTCGGACCGACCTACAGGGGGTTTCGCGGCCCAATGCAGTGAGCTCAGGAACATCAAGGCACGTGGCCTAGGTCCCTTGGCCTCAGCCTAGACCCATGTATGGTTTTCACGTGCTACACATGCTGCTGCCCAGGACCTGTGCCCTCACGTTGCCTATAAATATTGCATTATTGCTATTAGGTAGGACTTTTGGCATTTTTTAGATCTCAACCTCGAGCTCGGGTAGTCGGGTACCTCTGACCCACTGTCACGTATACCAGACTTTTTTCATTAAATCAACAAGTAGACTAGGCAAAAGATCCGAACCCAGAACCGACCTAAGACCGTATACTGTAGACAATACTCGTCGTATATAACCTAATGCAATTTTTTAAAAAAATTATTACATAAAGCAATTAAATTAAATAAAGTCAAGAATTGAAAAGGCTTGATTCAAGCCCGAGCTCGTGTGCGCCGGCACCTGCGGGCACGAATGTCGTCCGACACCTTTAAATGCCAAATTAAAAGCTACTTCTACTCCTTTCTTAAGTCATACTGTGTTCATAATCTTGCTCTAGTTCGACGGATTCCTTGTTTGGGTGCTCAAACATTGAATCGTAGCATCCTAGGAAGCCTAGGCCACAACGCTCCTAGAACTTTTGGGAGGTGGCAAATAAGGTTTTAAGGAAAGAGTGATCGCTTGACTCTTGCTAAAAACCATACACCAAACACTAGCCAAATTCCCCATATTTCCTTCTCTTCCCTTCTTCCCACAGAAAATAATAATCTTATTTTATAGGATTATTATTTGTTTTAACCAACGGATTTTCAACACGAATTAATTTTCATTGTTCCCAAAAGATTAAATCTCCAACCCTAAAAGTCCTCCACGTCTCGTGCCCTCAATCAGTGTGACGGGCGGTGTGTACAAGGCCCGAGAACGGATCCACCGCCGTATGGCTAACCGGCGATTACTAGCGATTCCGGCTTCATGCAGGCGAGTTGCAGCCTGCAATCCGAACTGAGGACGGATTTTTAAGGTTAGCGCACCCTCGCGGGATCGCGACCCTTTGTCCCGGCCATTGTAGCACGTGTGTCGCCCATGGCATAAGGGGAATGATGACTTGACGCCATCCGATCCTCACCTTCCTCCAACTTATCACCGGCAATCTATTTAAGGTTCCAAACTCAACGTGGCAACTAAACACGAGGGTTGCGCTCGGCTGTAGGGGTACGTATTCCATCAGATCAATGACAACTTAAAAGATTGTTCATGCTTATAACGTTTGTTCACAAAAATAAGTGATTAGTTAGGTATTATTATATCCAAGTTTAGAAGAAAGACATTGTATAGTATTATATATTGGCGTGTTTGTTTGTCAATTGTCATGAATATGTGCTGATGATAGGTAGCGCATCGGGTAGGTATATTGATGCCTTAAAATTTTAACAATGATTTAGAATAATGAGGTTTGAACACATAACCTCCCATTTAAAAGAATCACTTTGTGTCAGTAGACCACAATTAAAGTCATTGGCTATTATTGGTTTCTTTAATATAGATAATTTATGATAATTGGGTTCAATTAACTTATCAATTCTTGATAGTGCATTCGATTCATCTCTTCCAAATTTTCATATAAAAAGTATTTTGTCCAATTAATGAGTAATATACTGATTATATTGATTTTTTTTAAATCTAGCATTTATGACACGACCTATTAACACAATATGAGATTGAACACTGAAAATAAGAAAATAAGGAGCTGCTTTCTTTAACCCAAAAAAAAAAAAAAAAAAAAAAAAAAAACTTAATACATATGTATATATATGTTGGGATTATTCTCAATCTAATTTCTCATCCTCTCCCCCAATATCAAAATGGATTACCAGACCATTTTGCTAGCTCTTTTGTTTACCTCCACTTTGATCCTCATTAGCTTCTATCCCTTTCATGGCCGGAAAAAGCTTACACCACCGCCGCCGCCAGGGCCAGTTCCCTTACCCATAATAGGAAACCTTCACCTGCTAGGAAACCAACCTCACAAGTCCCTTGCCTTACTAGCCCAAAAATACGGTCCTGTTATGCGCCTCAAACTGGGCATGGTAAACACCGTCGTCATTTCTTCATCCGCCATGGCCAGAGAAGCTCTGCAGAAACAAGACTTAGCCTTCTCTAGCCGCACAACTCCCGACGCTCTGAGCAGTCTCAACCGCCGCACGCCGTCCGTGTTTTGGCTCCCGGTCGCCGCCAAGTGGCGATCCCTCCGCACGATCATGAACACCACCATATTTTCCGGCAGCAAGCTCGACGCCAACCAGGAGCTGCGGGCGAGAAAGATACGTGAGCTTATAATGTACTGCCGGAAGAAGGGCCGTGCAGGGGAAGCGGTGGATATCGGGCGTGAAGCTTTCAAGACGACCCTGAATTTGCTGGCTAACACCATCTTCTCCAAGGATTTAACTGACCCCAATTCGGATTCCGCCATGGATCTCAAGAACTTGGTGTGGAATATAATGGAGGAAGCTGGAAAGCTCAACCTGGTTGATTATTTCCCCTTCCTTGGAAAGCTTGATCCCCAAGGAATCAGGCGGCGCATGTCTCACCATTACACTGAAACGGTTTCCATTTTCAAAGATCTGATCGACCAACGGCTGGAAGATCGGAAAGTGGACGGAAACAGAAATGGTGATGTTTTAGATTCACTCCTGGGCATCAGCGAAGAGAAACCGGAGGAGTTTGATAGAGGTCAAATTGAGCGCATGTGCTGGGTATATATATAAACTCCAAAAAACTGAAACCCACCCAAATTCATCATGCTTAGTTTCATAAATTAAATACCTAATAACTTGTTTTCAGGACTTGTTTGTTGCTGGGACCGATACGTCTTCGAGCACAGTAGAGTGGGCAATGGCAGAACTTTTGAAAAATTCAGAAGCCATGGCGAAAGCTCAATCTGAGCTTGCAGATGTTATTGGCAAAGGGAAGCTATTGAATGAAGGTGATGTTGCTCGTCTTCCTTACTTGCAATGCATTGTGAAAGAAACATTTAGGTTACATCCGCCAACTCCATTGTTGATCCCACGTAAAGTTGAACAAGATGTAGTGTTGTGTGAGTATACTATTCCTAAAGGCTCAAAGATCCTGATAAATGCATGGGCAATCGGGCATGACACTAATCTTTGGGATAATCCGTTTGTCTTCAATCCCGAGAGGTTCTGGGATTCAAAAATTGATGTTAGGGGACAAGATTTTGAGCTCATTCCATTTGGAGCTGGTAGGAGAATTTGTCCGGGGTTGCCAATGGCAGTGAGAATGGTTCCAGTAATGTTAGGGTCATTGTTGAACTCGTTCGAGTGGAAGATTGAAGGAGACATAACATCGGAGAATTTGGACATGGAGGCCAAGTTCGGGATGACATTGGCTAAAGCTCATCCCTTTCGAGCCATACCTATTCCCATCATGTGAATTGTACTTCAATTTTAGATATAAATATCAAGAATGACGATCATTGTTGAACATTATTTTCTCTATCAATTTTTAAAAACTTATTCCATACTAACTATTTCAATGTAGGACTTTATTATTTAAAAAAAAAAAAACTATTTCGATCAATGTAGGATGAATGGTGTTGGATTTTACCACTACACTACGAATCCAAGAAGTTCCAAAGGTGTCCTCAACTTCCTGTCATCCTCGAGTCTGCTACGTACAACTGTCCATGGTAAAACACATGTTTCTTTAGTAGCAGGCCGACATGAGATAACATTTGTCATTGATTTTTATATATTGTCATAGCGGAAAATTGCTTCCTTTGAAATTTAAAAGAAAGTCTTATACTACAACAGTTAAAACTTTTACTCAATGTCGTATTTTCTCAAAGCATTAAAAATAATACTTTGATTTACATTAGTGGTTCAATATGTTAATAAATAATATTAAAATTACCAAGGACCTTGTGGTCTCTTGGTATCTAATTTCTCTCCTATGTGAAAAGTGTAGGGTTTGAACCTTAGTCTAGACTATATATATATATGAGTATCCCTTTTAATTTGTTTATAATAAAAAAAATAATGTTAAAATTAAAGATACCTATAATAATAATTATTTTACAATATAATATGTAATTACAATTATGATTATATACTATAACTATAATAATTCAATTAAAATAATATTATATATATATACAGACTCACGAAGTTGGGTCTCACCAACAAAAACAAATATATATTTGCTTTTTTTTTTAAGATTATGGATGTCTGCTTCATCTGCACACACGTGAGATGAGAAGGACTTAGTTGATTCTAGAAACCAGCTTCCTCTCATCCATAATCTTCTCCATTTATTTGCTGCTGCTTTGACTTCTCCGACACATCGGAAAAGTGATATTCACAGATCAATCGAGCAATCTCAGCTACTCCATTTCTCTGATTTCGAACACAATCATTATATATTCTATGTTGAAGTCAAAATTTGGGCGATTTGAGTAGATTCACCCAATCGTTGCAGCAGTGTATCATCTTTCGCGATGTTGATATCTACAAACCCAGAATCAACTCATGCATGTCACAGATCTACTCTTTTGAACTGCTATGGTCACCCAAAAACGCTTATGGAGTGAAGTCTGGGAGCTAATTGAAAAGATAAGTATGGATTAGGGCTTTATTATTTGGGTAACTGCTTATTGAGTTTCTCTGATTTGCTATACTAGTTGAAATTGACTTCTATACTTTTATTTGAATTTTATTTCTTATATATATGGAAGACCGAATACATGCATGTAAGATCTGAGTTTTAATTTGTTTTTTTTTTTTTTTTTTTTTTTGAACTTCTACGAAAAGCTAAGTGTGGATTAGGGCCGGACTTTTTGATTTGATTATTTAGTATGAATCTTGGATCATTTTTTTATTGTGGCTTTGTGTATGGTAGTCTATAAGTGATGTTTTATTTTTTTAAAACTGGGTATATCAAAATTTCAGTTTTATCAAAGCTTTCATATATGTTTTACTATATGTTTCATAATAATTGTATAGAACTTCTATATTTTGATTTTTATTCTTTTTACTTTATCCCTTAACTTCTAAACCTTTTCTATTTGAACAATGGAAATTTTTTATTTATCATCCTCAAATTTTATTATACGTTTTCACAATAATTCATATAAATACTTTTGATTTTTTGATTTTTTAATTTTTTAATTTTTTATGTTTATGTTTGTATTATATATTTTTTCCTTTTGTTAACGGCAGACAACAACAATTAGAGGTAAAAAATATTATTCCTTTCACATGTTTTGTCGGGTCAGAGTATGGGAACTCTTAGGATTGAGAATTCAACTTTTTGGGAGAAGAGGAAAATAATATTATGATATGGAACTCAATAAAAATTTATTAAAATCTTTCATTTTAAAAGTTTAAAACTTACAAAAATCATACAAATCTTTAACTAGGGTATGCCTTAAAAAAGAAAAAAAAAAAAAAAAACAAAACAAAAAAAACTATGGGTATGTATTACCAATTCCGCATGGTATCAGGATATGTATTGATCATGCTTCCGGCGATGGCGGGGCGGGAATCTTGCGGCGGCAGAGAGGACAGCAAAGGCTTCTCTCCAGCCAAGTTGAGAGGCAGCCGTCGTGAAAGGAACAATGGTTGCAAGGCATCACAGCCACCACTGTCCCCGCCGTTAACTCCTCCAGGCAAATAACGCAACAACCACCGTCTTCTCCGCCACTATCCCTCTCATCGTACTCTATTATCTTCGTCTCCAACGACTTGATCGCCTGCCGCTCCTGATCTACGCCCCTCGTCGCCGTCGCCGCTCCGGAATTCTCGCCGTATACTAAGTTAATTTCGCTAGGATATGCTTCTCCATCGTAAGAAAGATATGTTACTTCTTCATTGTCCGAAAGAGGATCATTGCCCCAATAATATGGTATTCCATCATCGCCGCCCCGTTCAGAATCACTCCAGGAAAGATTTGCTAATTCATCGCGGCGAACAGGATCGTCGTCTGAAAGATATGTTACTTCTTCATTGTCGAGATCAGAATTATTTGGGAAAAGATATGCTGCTTCTTCATCGCCGAGAACAGAATTATTGTCAGAAAGATTTATTACTTCTTCATTGCGGATAACAGAATCATCATTGGAAAGATATGCTACTTCTTCATGGCCAAGAATAGAATCATTATTGGAAAGATATGTTACTTCTTCATGGTCAAGGACAGACTCATCGTCCGCAAGATATGCTACTTCTTCATTGTTGAGAACAGAATCTGAACCAGAATCATAATCATCAGAATCATAGTTGTCGGGATTATCTGGCCGTACTGAGCTTAAGCCAGCTGCAAATCGATCAATACCCCTCTCCATTAATGACTTCTTCTTTCTTCTTTAGGGTTTCTTATTCCTTCTAGCTAATTGTCTATACAAGTAGCTCAATTAATTCTGTAGCAGACAACCATGGGGTATATATATACATATAATTCTGTAGAAGACCACAAACTTTTATCCTAATCTTTTTTGGACTTGAATTAGGTTTGAAAAATTCAAAACTTACTTTTATCCTAATCATTTTCGGACTTGAATTATGTTTGAAAAATTCAAGACTTATTATATTATATTAGTTGATTTAATATTTTATACATAGAGTGCATCTTAAATTTCTATTATTTTCATTAATTGCCATATCCAAAGAGTAATGAGATAACGATTCTTTGAGTACGTACAGTTTGACGGTGCCGCCACCTCTTGAAAACTCAAAAAGTTGAAGTTCTTGTTTATCATGAATGTAAAAATTTTCTACATTTTAAGTAGTTGTAATTAGATTGGCTATTAGTTCAAGTTAGAATTAATTTTATGTGTCACTATGGACACTGATTTAGACAATTAAAATACCCTTTGAGATTGCACTAAATTAAACATAATAGTTATATAATGACGTGTAGTAATATATAAAAAATATATCATTAAAAACTTTCAATAAAAAGTTTTAAAATTACACTTATATTGATATTCAAAAAATTAAATATACAATTACATACATAAAATCAGTGCGAATATTGCAGGTTATAAACTCATTATTGTACGTATAGTATGGAAGCGTTATGCTGTGGAACCGTGTCTATGTTCATAATTACTGAATTATATGTCTATGTGTTCATAATTATAAAGTTATATATCATTTTGAACTTCATATTTACAATTACAAAACTTTATGTTCATAATTACTGAACTATATATCCATAATTATAAAGCTATATATTCATAATTTTTTAACTTCATATTTACAATTATTGAGTCTCTATATTCATAATTACAGAACTATATGTTCATAATTATGTTCACAACTCTATGTTCATAATTTTTGAACTATTTTCATAATTATGAACAGATTTAAAACCGTGTCCACCTTGCAAGGTGGACACGGTTCCACGGCATAATTTGCCTATAGTATGGGTATAAATTGAAGAAGGGGCATATTTTGGGTGTTGCTAGTGGCGACGGGGCAGCCAGATGCAGGACGACAGCAAGGGAAAGGGGGCTCGGAGGATGAAAGCGACTTGGTGACGAGGAGATATGTTGGTGGTCCAGAATTCTTAGGGATTATAACTCACTCGATCGTTTCCTACTATCTCCTACAACTCTAAAAATACTATAGATAGAGGTCGTCTCAGCTCTCATTTAAACATCATAATCTTCTCAAAGAACACTTGACTATCCTAGTCTATTATCTTCTTCTTCTCCTTCTTCTTCTTTTGACAATTTACTTAATTCGTATAGAAGTTGTAATAGTTTTTTATTGGTCTGGATTTTAAACTCGTTTTCAATATTATTCAATGTAGGATGAATGGTGTTGGATTTTACCACTATGAATCCAAGAAGTTTCACGTCCTCATCAACTTCCTGTCCTACAAACAAAAAATTATTTCAAAATAATGCAATGTGGTCTTAGACTGCTATACCTCTGATTAGAGTCACATCAAGGCCGTTCCAAAAAAAATTGGGATCCTGTGCAATATTTTGATTTGGACCCCTTTTTTTTTAACTAATTTTTATATAAAATAGTAGTTGTTTAAAAAGTTGTCTTAAAAAATTTAAAATATAAATATTGTATAAAAAATACATCTAAAATTTTATTTAAAAAGTGACATGCGTCGTGCACATTTAGAAGACCCAGATGACTATTTTCTAGAAGACATAAAATTAATCCTAAGGAAAAAATAAAAATTTATTTAGAAACTCTATGTATAAATAATTAATCAAGAAACGAATTCTTGAATATATTATTCTAAAATCATAATTATTAAGTCAGGTAAATAAAACAATAAACAAGAATTGTAAAATAATACGTAATTTTAAATACCTATCAATAGAATTGAAGAACTTGAAAGTTTGAGAATTAAAGAATCAGTAGCACACGAGTAGAATCTGTCGTCTTTCCCAAATTTGAATTACCTAATCTAGTTCAAATACACAAACATTCAAATAAAAAAATTTCAATATTTGAATTAATTCAAATACCTAGAATTCACAAATAGCACCCTCAAATTAAAAGAATAAAAGTTTAAATACCTAAGCTGCTATGCAGTAAGCAATTTGTTGTAGTTTTGTCTCTCGTGAGTCTCGTCTCGTTTGCGGCCTGTCTTTCTGACTTTCTGTTTGTCGTACTTTAGATTAGGCTAATATAGGTTATATAGTAATATTTAATAGGTATTTGTTCAATCGTTATGCTGTGCATCCGTATGCACCATGCATGGTGCATACGGATGTCAAAACGACGTCGTTTTATTAAAAAACACGCGTCTTTCCTTTAAAAAAAATTCAGGTTCGATTCCCAGCAACAACATTATATTGTTCATTCATTCTGGAATTTTAGTTCATAGATTATGGAATTATAGTTCATTGATTATGGAATTATAGTTCATCGATTATGGAATTGTAGTTCATCGATTATGAAATTTTAGTTTATAGATTATGGAATTTTAGTTCATTCATTCTGGAATTTTTAGTTCATAGATTAGATTATGGAAATATAGTTCATCGATTATGGAAATATAGTTCATCGATTATGGAATTTTAGTTCATATGTTGTTGCTGAGAATCGAACCTGATTTCTTTTTTTTTTAAGGAGAGACACGCGTTTTATTAAAACGACGTCGTTTTTGCATCCGTTATGCACCATGCATGGTGCATACAGATGCACAACATAATTTGCCGTATTTGTTACGGTGTATGTGGGGTGTATGTGGGCTTTATTTTTTTGAAGAAAGGTTCATCAACTTTGGACTTTGTTTAATTTGTAGTCTGTTGTAGGGGTGTAAACGAGTCGAGCCGAGCTCGAGCATGGGTATGCTCGAGCTCGAGCTCGTTAAATGCAGCTATGCTCGAGCTCGAGCTCGAGCTCGATCGAGCTCGTAACTGGATGCTCGAGCTCGAGCTCGGCAATTATCGAGCTGCTCGATTGTTCGAGCTCGAGCTCGAACTCGATCTTGAGCTCGAGTTCGAGCTTGATTTTGAGCTCGAATTCGAGCTCGAGATCAGGCTCGAGCTCGGGTTCAAATGCGTGCTCGATCTTAACCTTGAATTTGACGGTTTAACCTATTTGATTTAAAATTTAAACTGCTCTGTTTTATCCATACATAAATAATACAAACTTCAAATCAAAACACTCAAAATAATTTCGCAACGAAGTAAAAGATAGTGAAGACACAAGTCTGTTTGTTCAAACTTCAAAACATTCAAAATAAGTTTGCAAATCACAACAAAACACAAGTCAACAGTAGTAGTCCTTGATTCCTTGTACATATATATTTCGTCCCGGATATGTTCAAAACAATAGGGCTTTTAAATTTTGACTTTTGAGTTTTAAATTTTAATTATTATTTTTATATATTTTAATTATATAATATTATATATTATATTGTATATTATACGGCTCGCGAGCCGGCTCGACGAGCCACGAGCCTAGAGTATCTAGGCTCGGCTCGTGCTCGTTTATTTGACGAGCCGCTCGAGCTCGGCTCGTGCTCGTTTATTTGACGAGCCGCTCGAGCTCGGCTCGAGCTCGATTTTGACCGAGCTCGAGCCGAGCGTTGACCGAGCCGCTCACGAGCGGCTCGCGAGCGGCTCGGCTCATTTACACCCCTAGTCTGTTGAAGCCTAAATGCCTATATATGCTACATTTTTTATTTTTTTTAATTAAGGGCCCCCCAAAATTTTGGGGGCCCTGTGCGCCTGCCTTGGGCAGACTTGCCCAGGGACGGCCCTAGTCACATGCAAAAGTTATCCAATAGACGTTGTTGATGACAGATAACATCATAAAAAATAAATAAATAAATAAAATAAAAGACAATGAATCATGGAGTATACGCCGATCCGAAAATGAAATCTCCCACCAACGTCTCGTCTCAAGCACGACAATGAATCAGACAAATGAGTTTTTGTTTTTGTTTTTTTTTTTTTTTTTTTTTTTTTGTGATTTTTTTTAAATTTAAAAAATTAATTAAAATAAAAAACATATATTAAATTTAAATAAATTAACTAAATTTTTAAAAATTACCTCCGTTCAGGGCTTCCCTATCCAATTCAACTGGATAGAGAAAATGACCTTGGCTTCTCCGTCCAACTGCCTACTTGGCTCCTTCGTTCAGTTGGACGCAGAAAATTGTGGGCTTCTTTGTCAAGAGGGAAGCTAAGCCAACAATTCATGATTTTTTATTTTATTTTTTACATGTACATTGAGTTAAATCAACTTTACCTACTATTACTTTGAGCTTATTACTGCTTACATGTACATTGAGCTAATATGCTAATTGTATATACAAAATAAAAAAAAAATTATTGGTTAAATTGCTTAAAAATGAAGAGTTAAGGTGTTTAATTATTATTATTATTATTATTATTATTATTATTATTATTTAGTTTAAGGCCGGGTTTAATTGCATTTTTGGTCAATAGTGGAAGATCTATTTGACTCTCATTTTCCAAAATAAAAAAAAAGCAAAAAAAACTGCATCAGATCATTTAATGAAAGTAACAATCAGCTACCATTAATCCATTATTATACCACGTCCCAAAATGATCCAAATAACTTACACACATTCTGTCAATCATTATTGTATGGACCATGGTCCACAAAAGTTATATGGACCATATTTTGTCTACTGTAAAATAATGTACATTCAGTATAAAAATAATGTATATTCAGTATAAAAATAATGTACATTGTATTCAGGGGATGTACATTATTTTTGTTCTGAATATACATTATATTACATGATGTACATTCAATACAAAAATAATGTATATTTAATATATTAAAAATGTACATTTTGTTATGGTCCATATAACATTGTGTGGACCATGGTCCACATAATAATTTGCCAATGTTGATCCGAATAATGATTTGTCACCCTATCAAGAGTTGTTTATTTTTTGAGTGTTGAGCACTTGACCTAATAATATAGAAAAAAAGCCAAATTCACCCCTAAGTTAATTGAATAGTATAATTAAATTTTCTAAGTGTAAAAAATTCAATTTAAACTCGTTAAAATATTCAATTGAGTCCTGCATTAACCTGATTAGTAGACTGACACATGTCACTTTTTTTTTATTAGTTTTTATTTTTTTAATTATTTTCTTTTTATTTTTTTTTATTACAAAAAAAGGGATACCCACATATACTTTCTACACTTACACCAAGGCTCAAACCTAAGACATCTCATATAAGGGGCCAATCGGATACCAATGGACCACAAGCGACTTGGTTATTTATTTTTTTTTTTTTACTTAAAAAGACTTAATTTTTAAAAATAATACAACTGGTGGTTATCTCCTATCAAGGGAGCAAAGCTTCTGTGCTGCTATTGGCCGGAGAAAGAAGAAGAGAAGTAGAAGTCGAAGGAGGAAAGAAAGGGAAAGGGGAAGGAATTTTATAAATGGAAGGTGGGTAGGTTGATTTTTTTAAAAAAAGTTAAAATTAAGAATAAAAGCAAAAAATATTTTTAGAAAAATAAAAGTAAAAAAATCATTTTAAAAAATTGATAAACATTTATGTGCTAATTTAGGACTTAATTGAACATTTTAATCAATTTAATAAGTTTAAATAGATTTTTTATTTATTTAAAGCACTCAATTGCACTATCCAATTAATTTAAGGACCAATGGCCCCTACGTCAGAACATCTGGGAGGATGTAAATCATGGTAACTCATCTGAACTTGTTCCTTGTTACTTATTTTACTATTTCTTTTTCTAAATCCATTAGTTTTACATTTTAGTATTTATATTTACTTTTCTCATGAGCTGTGTATTATGTTATATGACATTCTAATGCTACCATTATCATTATTATATATGAAACTTCCATAAATTTACCATGCAGTTAAATGGTTTGTGCTAGTTAGGACATTTATTTAATTTACTAGGATAAATAAATGATTTGTTTGTAAATGATAGTATGCACATTATGCAGTTTAATGGTTTGTTTAAAGGATAAATTTACTATCCAAATTTGAAGAGGATGGTCTATCTTGACGGGCACTTTTGTAATGAAGTAACTATGCAAGCTTAGAGTGCAATGCAAGGATAAATTTGATATGCAATGCAAAGATAAATATTTGATTCAGAGCACAGCCAGTCAGCCATAATGGCTTACCATTTATACCATTTCATATTTAAAAAAAAAAAAGAAAAAGAAAAAAAGAGATACAACGTCGGCTTTTTTAAAAACGCCGACGTCGTATCTCTATTTTTTTTGTTAAAAAATAATCTAAGACGTCGGTTATTTATAAAAAAAAATCGACGTCTTAAGTTAATTTTAAAATTAAAAAAATATACGACGTAACCGACGTTGTATCATTTACTTACAACGTTTGCTGTGTCAACGTCGACAAAAAACCGACGTTAAAAGTGTAAAAAACTCAACGTTAAAAGCAGTTTTTGTAGTAGTGAAAGAATTCCTTTCACTTTGAAAGGTTGTTCCCACACTGACACCAGTACAATTGAATTCCAGGTCATTATTTCTAGACTTCACCCATGTGTGTTGTCCAGGCAGACTACTTTTTCAATAATATATAGCTTTCATCTTTTATTACGTCTATGGAACATCAGCATAGCATTGGGAAGGCAGTCATCCCTTAGCTTTGTAGCAAGTTAGTGACTTATGCTAGCTTTAATTTGATCGTCGGTCCAAAACTAATATTATTTATTTTGGTTTTATCTTTATTTCCCAAAGCTCCCTCCTTATATATATCACATCACATGCATTATATATATTACTAAAAAAAAAAAAAACTCTCCACCAATCATCTTTGGCTTAATGGAGATAAAGAATGGAGACATAGCGGTGGTGATGGTGCCACTTCCGGCACAAGGTCACCTGAATCAACTCCTCCACCTCTCCCGCCTTATCTCATCCTACAAAATCCCAGTCCACTACGTCGGAACCACCACCCACAACCGCCAGGCCAGGCTGCGCCTCCAAAACTGGGACCTCGCCGACCTTCATTTCCACGACTTCTCCTTGCCGCCTTTCGAGACAACGCCGCCTCCCAATCCTGACTCCCCGGATAAGTTCCCCGCCCAAATAATCCCGTTGTTCTTCGCCACGTCGCATCTCCGCCGCCCTCTCGAAGCCCTCGTCCGCCGCCTCTGCGGCGCGGCCAGGAGAGTGGTGGTTGTTTATGACTGTGCGATGGCTTGGGTGGTCCAGGACGTTCCCTCGCTGCCAAACGCCGAGTGCTACTTTTTCAACAGCGTCTCCGTCTTCCAAATCTACACCTATTTCATGGAGGTCGCCGGAAAGGCTTTCCCTGCCGATGGGCCTCGAGTGTTGCGGGAAATCCCGTCCCTGGACGGGACTTTTCCCGACGAGTTTTGGGATTATTGGCATATACAAGAGAAGTTTCTCGGGAATAGCGCCGGTGTCCTGCACAATACTTGCCGGGTAATCGAAGGGCAGTTTCTTGATTTGTTCGAGAAGGAAGGTATACTTGGAAGCTTAAAGCAATGGGCTATTGGCCCTTTCAATCCGGTGGAGATACCGGAACAAAGAGACTCCGACGAAAAACGCCGCCGCCGCCACGAATCCCTCCACTGGCTCGACAACCACCCGCGAAACTCGGTCGTATTAGTTTCTTTCGGGACAACCACCACTTTGTCCGGCCAACAGATCAAAGAACTGGCAACTGGGTTGGAGAAAAGCCGGCAGAAATTCGTGTGGGTGCTGAGAGATGCAGATAACGCAGACATTTTTTCCGGCGACGACGACAGCCGGAGATCCGATCAGTTGCCGGAAGGATACGAGGAGAGAGTCCGAGGAAGAGGAATCATCGTACGAGACTGGGCTCCACAGCTCGACATCCTAGCACATCCGGCAACCGGCGGCTTCATCACCCACTGCGGCTGGAATTCGTGCATGGAGAGTATGTCAATGGGAGTTCCGATGGCTGCTTGGCCGATGCACTCCGACCAGCCCAGAAACTCCGTGCTAATCACCAAGTTCCTCGGGATTGGAATTCTCGTGAGGGATTGGGAGCGCCGGCAAGAAGTTGTGACATCAACTACAATTGAACAGTGCATCGTACTGCTAATGGATACCCCGGAAGGAGAAGAAATGAGGAGAAAGGCGGCGGATTTAAGTGCCGCTCTCAAGAGATCGGTGATGGACGGCGGCGGAACACGAAAAGAATTGGACTCCTTCATTGTCCACATTACCAGATAAATATTAGTAGTGTGTGCAAATTTCGATTAATATTTAAGAATTTCAGTTAATCGTTCTTGATTCTATCAATGGTTAAAAGATTTGTAAAATTTCGGTAACAGTTAATTTGGTTTGAAAGTATGGTTTAATCGAATTAACTGAATGAGTAATGGAATTTTATATATATATATATATATATATATATATATATATATACTTTATAATTTGTGCTTTTATGTTTGTAAGGTTGTTATAGTATTGTATTTGTATATTTTATTATGAATTATTATTATATGTATTATTTTAATTGAATTTATTATTATATGTATTATTTGAAAGATTTAAAGCTTTAACTTAAAAAGATTTTGATTAATCGGATTAATTATTTTATTTGATTTGATAAATTCGATAATACAAATTTTGATTCGGTTAACCGTTAAACTTTTAAATTTTTTGATTAAAATAGTTCGATTGATCAATTGCGCACTCTTAAATTTGTTTATAGTAATTTTGTATTTTGGCAAAATGACAAGTAAGAATAGTGTTGTAATTTAATCAGATAATATTTATTGTCTTGAGGTTAGTAATGATGAATGGAAACAAAGTTTATGGAGACAATTTTCTTTTTAATTTATAGATAATTATTACTGATGGGATATGGGAGACAGATAGAGACAATTTTCTTATTAATTTATAGATAATTATTATTGATGGGACCCCAATTCATTTTACACGATTCTGATTTCTAGATGAACTCTAGTTAATTTCTTCCACTTTTCATATTTTTAGATTAAATTTAGGTTCTTATTCATCTTTGAAGCTTGTATCAAAAGATTTACATTTAGATTTTAAGATGAGTATTTTTCACTTTTGGTCCTATGACTTTAGTGCCTCCGTCAATTTAGGTTCACAACTTTCGTTCCTGACATAAGTAGTGCTTGACTTTGATTTTTTTTCCACTTTTAGTCCTTCCGGTCATCTGAGTGACTACTTTTAATTGGAATAAATAAATTGTCATTTATATTTATATTTAAGAGGGTAAATAAGTCCTTTACCATCTCTTAAAAAATAAACAAAAGAAAAATAAAAATAAAATTAAGCTATGTAATTATCCTCTTCTTCCCGTATCTTCTGATTCTTCTCCCTCTCTTAATGGACGGCTCTGGTTCATGTATTTTTGAATCCCCTGTCCACCATTGCAATAGACTTGAAATATACTTCCTCCAATCCTCGGAACGTATCCTTGGACTTCAACCTCTTCAGTTACGCTTCTCCTGGCGACAAAAACATCTCCTTGTTCTACGTTACATCCCGGTTTCATTGGTTTCCAACCTCTTGAACTGTAACTCGACCGGAAATGGGTTCTGGTCGCCTAGTACAGGATTGCCCAATAATAATAACATCAAGTGCGGGTTTGAGATCTTTGTTACTATCACTCAAGAAGCTTTTGAGACTTTAAGTAATGCTTCTAGTATCATTCCAGTATTTTTGTATATATTAGAACGATATGGTGAGAGCTAAGGCCCATTGGAAATGGTGATCATGAAAATTGAAACAGTATCAAGAGAGCTCATCAAACCCTCTTCTTCTTCTTCTTCTTCAAGACTCCATAAACTGTGTCTCCTTGATCAGATAGCCCCCCATGGCTATAATCCCAAAAATACATGAACTAGAGCCGCATGTGCGCTTACAGTAAGAGAGGGAGAAGATACGGGAAGAAGAGGATAATTACATAGCTTAATTTTATTTTTCTTTTTCTTTTGTTTATTTTTTAAAAAATGGTAAAGGACTTATTTACCCCTCTTAAATCTAAATATAAATAATAATTTATTTATTTCGATTAAAAGTAGTCACTCAGATGACCGGAAGGACTAAAAGTGGAAAAAAATCAAAGTCAAGCACTACTTATGTCAGGAACGAAAGTTGTGAACCTAAATTGACGGAGGCACTAAAGTCATAGGACCAAAAGTGGAAAAAACTCTTTTAAGATTCTATCATTCATTTCTATAGATAAGCTTTCTTTTCCTTAATTCTTTCTTTTGCAATGTTTATATTTATTGCTTGTGCTTTTGCTTTAATTATACAATTTAATTATGAGTAGTTAGTTTATTGGCTTGAGTTAGGGTTGTATTACATATCTTGATGCTTTATTTGTGATTAATGCATAAAATGAATTTTTTTCTACTTAAGATTCTTGAGTTTATGGAGGGTTTGTGTTTGTATCTTGTGAATGTTTGGTGTATAATATTCATTACCATGTTTTGGATGAGTTTTGGCTACAATGAGAGTTGGGCCAAGATTCTGAGTCACTCATTGCATAAACTCGATTTCTTCCTATGAAAATAGGGGAAATTGGGGGCTCTTTATTCTTTGTGTTCTTGAAGAACTTTGAATTGATATACCACGAGAATGGGTAATTCCTTAGCTTATTTAATTTATTTATCACGAGAATGACTTCTAGACTTGAATTCCTAAGTGCATCCCCTCAATTGCTTGGTTGTGTGATTTTTTCCAATCCTTAGGTTGCATTATGCATTTATAAGATAGTGCTCCCTAACTTGATTCATATTTCTTTAATTTGTTTCATGTTTATATCTTTGTTCATATATATGAGTTTGTATTACTTTGTTTAGTTACCGTAACTTTAAAACTTGTTATGAATTATTGCTTAATTTCTTGTTGAATATTTCCTATTTTCCTTGTGCTAGTGCTTAGTTTCTTGTTGTCACAGTCATAACCCCCAATTTCTTGAGGACGACATAAAACACCCGAGCTCACATCTCATAGGGATATATATACAAGTACTACAAATATGACTGATAACATTGTTTATCAAGAAATTCTGTAATGAAGCTTGTTGATCAATTAATTTATCCAACAAGTTATTTCTTGGCAATGTGTTTGCATATTCCTTGCCATATTAAATGCTTAATATTTTTATTCTCATGTCATTTCCCTTGTATTTTTTTTTTTTAAATTTTCTTATCAGCTTGGTGGATTAAATTCAATTTAGGATATAGTGAATTCAGTACCCTATTTCTGTATGAACTTAAATGTTCACTATTTTATTTTTTTGCTTTCCTTCTTATTGTCGTTTTAGTGCCATCAATTGTTTTAGTGCTATCGATATAAACTTTATTTGTTTTTACGAATTCTAAACTTTCTTTCTACAATTCTGAATGTTTCATCTCTCTATCTAAACTTTATTTATTTTTTTCTCCCTATTAAAACTATAAACATTATACTTAAATTTAATAATTATTTTTTCTTTGTTATCATACAGTTTCTTCATGCCTAGCTAAACTCTACAATTTTTTTCTCCATCCTAAACTTTACAAGTTTTTTCTCCCTCTCAAAATTCTTCAAATTATTTTTTGATTATTTTTTCTTTGTAGTATATTGTTTTTCTTCACTAATATATATAGCTGAAATCAATCTCCCAGACTCAATACTTTTAAACTTTCTTTATGAACTATTTTCTTCCTAACTTCTAAACTTTCGTGAATTTTTTTCTCTTAATTTCTAAAGTTTATCTACCAACTTTTTCTCGCTAAATACATCAACAAATCAAAGCTTTTTTTTATTCTTTTCATATATAAAACTTCTATATTTTAATTTTTATTCTTTTTTTTTTTACTTTATTCCTAACTTCTAAACTTTCTCTATTAACTTTTCTCCCCTAAATATTCGAACAAAGAAATTTTTTTATTTACCATCCTTAAATTTTACTATAGTTTCACAATATTCATATAAATACTTTTGATTTTACTTTATTATGTTTATATTTGTAATAATTTTTTTTTTCCTTTTGTTAACCGCAGGTGGTTGTTCACAACAATTTGAGAAAAAAAATTTTGTGATATAAAAATTAATAAAAGTTTATTAAAATCTCTCATTTTAAAAGTATTTAAAAACTACAAAAATCATACAAATACTAACTATCGGTATACCTTAAAAAGAAAAAAAAAACTATGGGTATGTATTACCAATTCCGCATGGTATCAGGATATGTATTGATCATGCTCTAGGAAAGGCTCCGGCGGCGGCGAGCCGGGAATCTTGCGGCGGCAGAGAGGACAGCAAAGGCTTCTCTCCAGCCAAGTTGAAAGGCAGCCGTCATGAAAGGAACAATGGTTGCACGGCATCACAGCCACCACTGTCCCCGCCGTTAACTCCTCCAAGCAAATAACGCAACAATCACCGTCTCCTCCGCCACAATCCCTCTCATCGTACTCTATTATCTTCCTCTCCAACGACTTGATCGCCTCCCTGTTCTGATCTACGCCCCTCGTCGCCTCTGCTCCGGAATTCTCGCCGGATACTAAGATAATTTCGGTAGGATATGCTTCTGCATCGTAAGAAAGATATGTTACTTCTTCATAGTCGAGAACAGAACCACCACTGTCGTCGGAAAGATTTGCTAATTCATCGGCGAGAACAGAATCATTGTCGGAAAGATATGTTTCTTCTTCATCGCCGAGAACAGAATCATTGTCCGAGAGATTTATTACTTCTTCATTGTGGATAACAGAATCATCATTGGATGCTACTTCTTCATGGCCGAGAATAGAATCATCATTGAAAAGATATGCTACTTCTTCATTGTCAAGAACGGAACCATCGTCAGAAAGATAAGCTACTTCTTCATTGTTGAGAACAGAATCAGAATCAGAATCAGAATCATAGTTGTCGGGATTATGGGGCCGTACCAAGCCTAAGCCAGCCGCAAAACTACATGCAAATCGGTCAATATCCTTCTCCATTGCTGGCTTTTTCTTTCTTCTTTAGGGTTTCCTTATTCCTCGCAACTTATCAAGTATATATGATTGCCTATACAAGTAGCTGAATTAATTCTGTAGCAGACAAAGCTAAGGTATATATACATGTAATTCTGTAGAAGGCCACAAACTTTTATCCTAATCTTTTTGGGACTTGAATTATGTTTGAAAAATTATAAATTAAAATTTCTTTTATCCTAACCTTTTTCGGACTTGAATTATGTTTGAAAAATTCAAAACTTATTATATTATTAGTTGATTTAAGAGTTAATTATCGAAATGGTCCCTTGACTATATCAAAATTATCAATTTGGTTCTTGATTATTTTTTTTGACCAATTAAGTCCCTCAACTTTAAAAATCTTAACCAATTTGGTCCTCCGTTTATTTGACCGTTAGTCAACCGTTAACTTGGGACCAAATTGATAATTCGCTATAGTCAAGGGACCATTTTGGTAATTAACTTTAAGGGTGGGCAATTCGGTTATGTTTTCTCGAACCGAACCGTACCAAACTAGTTAGATTCGGTAATATACCAAAAAACTGAACGGTAATAAATTCTTGTATACCGAACGGTTCCGTAAAAACTCGAACCGAACGGTAGAGCAAGTAGCAAGGGACTTGGATTTACTTTTTATTTATTTATTTATTTATTTATTATTATTATTATATTTCTTTAAAAAAATCAAACGGTATTCGGTTTAGTTTAATTTTGTATCGAACAATTCGGATCG